AAGCCAGGGTCCCTTCTCCTGTCTCCCACTTACTAGCTGGAGAGTCTTAAATGTGTTAAGTGAAAGCTGAGTGAACTTTCCTGGGTTTGTTTTTCACATGTTCATCAAAATAAGCTCAAAGGGTCCTGTCACCCATAAAAATTCCAAGACTCCAAGGAATAACTTTTGTTTCCCTTTGTTTCAGAAAAGCACACCTACAGACACCAACAATGGTGGTACAGAGCTCCGACTAATCCCCTCTGCAATTACTCAAGGGCATTTGAGGTAATTTAAGAACACTTTACATACAAAAAAAGATGGTAAGCCTTTCTTTAGTGTGCCTTCAGGTAATTTGGCAGTGTTAATTCCTATCCCACCAAAAACAAAAAACAAAAAACCCTACCAGTGAAGGATTAACAACACACTGCAGGTCTCAAACTCATCAGAACACATTTTATAACACTAAAAATCTGACAAAGTGGCAACTTTTAGTCATTCAAACACTCCCCAAAAGTTCTGGAGGTACAAAATTTACAGCAACAAGCAAAAAATAAGAAACCAAACAAGCAATACAAAACAGAAAACCATGTGCCCCAATAATCTCGAGTCTGAAAGTCTCCCCCTTCCTTCAATTCCAATGCAAAGGGGGCTGTTAATAACACTAGAGGCTGCCATGCTTGCTTCAGGGAACAATACTCACAATAATGACCAGGCCCTCAGAAGCTCACAACACTCTTACACCTTGAGAAAAGGGCTTTCTTTCCCAAAGATTCAGACATGGTAGCCATTCCCTTCATGAGGATATTTGAAGAATGGGCCTCTTCTTGAGAAAGAGAAAGACAGTTCTTTTAATAAAATCCCAAGACAAACTGAAAGCGAGGCAGGTTAAGTTCAGACATTAAACAGGGCCAAGCGCTTCAACATAGAGCGTGCAGAAAATCTGAAAAGCATCAAGGACTATTTCCCATTTCCTCCCTTCAATAACATCCAGAAAAAGGATCCCTCCTGTCTCCACGTAAGGAGTGCAACAGTGGAAATGCTCCTGATTTCTACTGACAGAGGCTTCCTGCATAAAAGATTTTCATCTCTTTTCAAAGGAAAAGGAGAAAAGAAACAATCTGTCATTCCGGAGATGCAAGAGGAAAGGGAGCTCTTCTCAAAGGTATAGAGTCTTCATTTTCTTGGGAAAGCAAAAGAAAGGAAGAACTTGGAATCGCCCACTTGGGGGGGGGGGGGGAGGGATGTGGAGATGGAAAATTTTTTGTCACTATAGCAAGTCAGGGAAGTGGGAGAGGACATCTCTAACCAGTCAGGAAGAAGGATACCTTCTGTGGACAAAGGGCTGGCTTCAGACTTCAGGTCTCCCTTTCTCATAAGAAAGCTGTTTCCAAAAGCTAAGTCTTTTCCTCCTATTTTCAGTGAGGCCCTCTTTGTTAATGTGGAGGAGTATTGTACACTAGGATCTAAGGGGACTGGAAGTGTCTTTTTCCCTAACCCCTAAGCGGGAGGGAATCTTCCACTCCAGTAAAAAAGGATGAGTTGAACACTTGTGATGAGGGTTGGGAGGGACATACGTGGAAAAAACTGCTTCTCTGTGCAAGATATTATTTTCTTTTACAGCAGATTAATATTAATAGTAACAACTTACCAAAAGCTATGTAACTAGTATTCACACAAATGCTCCCTTAGCCCGCATGACAATGTAAAGAAAACAGAACCCAAATTGGAGATGGACAGAGATTGAGACAAGTTAAACAATTAGACAAGGTCACAAAGATGTTGAGAGACCCAGGTTTGCAACTATCACTCCAAAAGCCATGCTCTTTACTGTGCAAGGGAAAGGAGCTCACTACACACCGAGAGACTTAAAGGCAAGAAGATAAGCGAGGCTCCCTCTGTGGATATCACGAGGGGAGAGGGAGATAGGTTGACTTCTGATACCATAAATTTTCAAGGTCTTCCTCTCTGTATCTTGGGGTAAAGGTGAAAAATAAAGGAGGAAGGTAAGTCTCTCTCTTACTGGAAAGATCCCCTGTCACTTTCAGGCAAGTTGAGAGTCTCACTCTTCACCTGGGAGACGCTGACCAAAGTTGGGGGAAAGGTCTCATTTAGGGGTTATCTCTTACTCCTCCTCAGGAGAAGTTCAGAATCCCCCTCGAACCCTGGGGTGGATCTCTCTCTGCTGACTAACGGATGAGCGCTAAGGAAGACCGTACGCCTCCGATAAGGGGCGTCGTCCTCCCCAAGGGGATAAGTTGGGAGATCCTTGTATCGAGGTTGAAGAGGAGTCTCTCTTGCGCGCCGGAGCCATGACTCGGAGAAGCCGCTTTTCCCTAGCGACGCGAGGCCTGGTCTCCTCCCTCTCCCTGGGTCGTTCCGCCGCCCGCAGAGCAGCCTTGGATCCTTTCCGGGCCGGGAGAAGGCTGGGGGCCCAGACTACCCTTTAGCCAGCACCACCAGGCGGAAGGACCCCTTAGGGCGGAGTGGGGCGGGGCGGCTACACCCGAAGCCTTCCCGCCCCCGGCCTCTTACCCTGAGGCCCGTTCCGCGGCCCGCGCTTGCCCCGCCAGCCTCTGCAGATGCAGCCCCGTCGTCGCCAAGTCTACCTGAGCCTACAGAGCCAACAGAGCCCGAGGGCGCTCCGGCCGCCGCCGCCTCTTCGTCTCTATGGTCCCCCTGCACTTCCTCATCCGGGGCCCGAGCCAGCCATGCGGACTCGCCCAAGTCCCGCCCCCGCACGCGCGCGCGCACTCCAAGGGGAGGCTCTTCCTGCGTCTGACCTCCCGCCCTCTGCGAGCCTCCACCACCCGCAACACCGCCCCTGCGGCTCAAACCCTTAAAGGGAAACACACCTTTCCACTTCTACTGAGCCATAGGGCCCAGTACCTGCCTCCACTGCTGTCACCCTGTTCCAGTCCACCATTTTTCTAGTCTAGACGGCTACAATTATAAGGGCCTCGCCGCTTCCACTCTAGCAGCCCGGGAGATCTTATTTACTGGAAACAGTGTTTTGGGTCACGACACTACTCTGCTTCCTCTAATTACACCCACCAATAAATAAATGTCACCTGTCTCCCGTTGGTTACAGAACCTTGTTTTTTTTTTTTTTGTTTGTTTTTTTTGAAAAGAGTTTTGTTCTTGTTGCTCAGGCTGGAGTGCAATGGCGCGATCTCGGCTCACCATAGTTGAGATTCAAGCGATTCTGCCTCAGTCTCCCAAGTAGCTGTGATTACAGGCATGCACCACCACACTAGGCTAATTTTGTATTTTTAGTAGAGACAGTTTCACTATGTTGGTCAGGCTGGTCTCAAACTCCTGACCTCAAGTGATCTGCCCGTCTTAGTCTCCCAAAGTGCTGGGATTACAGGCCAGCCACCGTGTCTGGCCTTCAAAGTTTATCAGACTTCCCAAATTAAAAAGTTAAAATACTTGCCTTTTTAAGAAGTCCCATTATGGACATCTCTCAGGAAAAGGAATCGAATTCCCTTGAGGGCTAAAAAGAAACAATCCTGTTAGCCTCCCCTGGGATGGAAGAATGTCCCATCAACCAATGCTGCTAAAGGCAGAAACTATCTTGGGGGATCTGGGTGTGTATTCTGAAGTGGCAACACAGAAACTTTTTTTCTATATGGAGTTTCGTTTTTGTTGCCCAGGCTGGAGTGCAGTGGCACAATTTTGGCTCACTGCACCCTCCATCTCCTGGATTCAAGCAAATCTCCTGCTTCAGCCTCCCAAGTAGCTGGGATTACAGGCATCCACCACCCGGCTTAATTTTTCTTATTTTTAGTAGAGACAGGGTTTCACCATGTTGACCAGTCTGGTCTTGAACTCCTGACCTCAGGTGATCCACCTGCCTCGGCCTCCCAAAGTGCTGAGATTACAGGCGTCAACCACAGTGCCTGACCTGTCGCCCAAACTGAAGTGCAATGGCAGAATCTTGACTCTTGGCTCACTGTAACCTCTGCCTCCTGAATTCAAGAGATTCTTCTGCCTCAGCCTCCTGAGTAGCTGGGATTACAGGTGCCCCCCCATCATGCCCGGCTTAGTTTTGTATTTTTGTAGAGATGGTATTTCACTGTGTTGGTTAGGGTGGTCTTGAACTGCTGACATCAGGTGGTCTGCCCGCCTCTGCCTCTCAAAGTGCTGGGATTACAGGGGTAAGCCACCACACGTGGCCCATAGAAACTTTTTTTTTTTTGACGGTGTTTCACCATGTTGGTCAGGCTGGTCTTGAACTCCCGACCTGCCTTGGCCTCCAAAATGTTTGGATTACAGGCGTGAGCCAGCACGCCCCGCCACATTTTTAAACATAACATTGTTATTCTTTTTTTTTTTTTTTGGGGGGGGGACGGAGTTTCGCTCTTGTTACCGAGGCTGGAGTGCAATGGCGCGATCTTGGCTCACCGCAACCTCCGCCTCCTGGGTTCAGGCAATTCTCCTGCCTCAGCCTCCTGAGTAGCTGGGATTACAGGCACGCACCACCATGCCCAGCTAATTTTTTGTATTTTTAGTAGAGACAGGGTTTCACTATGTTGACCAGGATGGTCTCGATCTCTTGACCTCGTGATCCACCCGCCTCGGCCTCCCAAAGTGCTGGGATTACAGGCTTGAGCCACCGCGCCCGGCCAACATTGTTATTCTTAAAAAATTTTGTGACTATTACAATCCACTTTATCATATATGTTTTACTACAATATAAACAATTTTCTGGGCGTGGTGGCTCACGCCTGTAATCCCAGCACTTTGGGAAGCTGAGGGGGGTGGATCACAAGATCAGGAGTTCAAGACCAGCCTGGCGAAGATGGTGAAAACCCGTCTCTACTAAAAATACAAAAATTAGCTGGGCATGCGCCTGTAGTCCCAGGTACCAGGAGGCTGAGGTGGGAGGGTCACTTGAGCCCGGGAGGCAGAGACGGCAGTGAGCCCAAATCACGCCACTGCACTCCAGCCTGGGTGAGGGTGACCTCACCTAAAAAAAAAAATAAATAAAATTGCAATTACCTAATACTTGCATTATTTACCTAACTTCTCCTGTGTCCCAACGTAAAGGAATCCACGCTTAAGAACGTTGCTTGTCCTGCCCCAGGGTCCCCTTGGTCTACTGTAGAATTTTTCATTACGGTATACCATACTTTTTAAGTCTTCCAAAAACCGTAAGAAACGGGCATCGTTAGTATTAAAGTTAAAAAGAAATTTAAGACAAGCTCTGTGTCGTTTAGATTTAGCAGTCAGTGTGATTAGAAGCAGCAGAGAAGTGGCGTGACCCACTGATTCCAGTTATAAGATGTCTCAGGCTGCAATCGAATTGCTACCGTCCAGATCAGAAACGGTGGACTGGACTGGACTGGGGGTTGGGGGTAGCAGTGACAGCACGCGGAGCTGGTAACTGTCAGGAGCCCTTGGCCAGAGCTTGGCTCAGCCCAGCCAGCTCTTTGGTTTTCTGGTTGGAGAGAAAGATACCCTGACATACGCGAATCTAGGCTGTGTCCTGGGTGTGACCAAAGACTGTTCGTTAGAAGCTTCGTTTTGGGAGCGGGTCAGGATTCGTCCTTCCTTCCTTCTGAAGGGTTTTGTGTTCTCGAGCTGTTTCCTGGTCTGTGAAATAGGATAGTATCTGCCTCCTGCATCCACCACATAATAGGGATGCGATGATTACATAAGGACTATGAAGCCACGGCAGCCATTCCTACTAATAGAGGGGCTCAGAATGTCTTTCGAAGTTTGCAAGGGTTTGAAAAGCACCCCCGTAAGCGGACACTTCCCAGCAGGGGCCATCACACTTAACTCTCGCGTGCTCAACCCCTTGTATCTTACAGAAGTCCTTTCAGAAACTCTCCTTGGCGTCTTTTAGCAGTGAGGCCACATGAGTCATTAACTTCGTTCATATAATAGAAAACGGAGCTCTGAGGGATCTAGTTTCCTCTGCGGGGAGATCACTAAGTCGGAAACGAAGCTCTTGGCCATGGAACTACTTCGGATAGACAGGCAGGAAATGGATTTCCACCGTGGGGCTAGAGACTCTAGGGCTCGAGGGCAGAAAACGCCAGACCGTGGCTCTAGCAAGAGGCCGCATCATGACGCCCCGCCCCTGGCTCGAGCCCCGGATGAGGAAGTGGCGCGGCCACAGAGACGAGGCGGAGGCCAGGCGAGAGCGGCGCGGGGCGCGAGGGCGGGAAGGGGGCGGGGCCCCGGGGCGGAGCCACCGGAGCGGCGCGGGTTCTCAGGTGAGCGCGCTACACTGTCCCGGAGGGCCTGGAGGCGCTTCAGGCTCAGGAGCGGAAACGACACGGGCCGCGAGGGCGTAGGCGGGGTGTCCGGAGGAGGCTCAGGGAACCTGGAGAGGGTCCAGTTCTCGGGACCCCGGCCTGAGGCGGGAAGGGGCTCCAGAGCTGTGGTAAGTGGAGCTACCCTTCCCGGACTCGGGACTGGGGAGCTTGAGCTAGGGGACCTTGGCTCAGGTTCGAGTTCCGTCTCCATCCCCAATCCGCTGTGTGACCTTGGACAAGTCTCTCTCCCTCTCTGAGCCTCAGTGGCCTCAGTGAAATGGAGAGCTGTGAAATGGAGGCAGGGAAGGTCCGCTGAGAGTTCGCACAGACCGAGATTTGGGGAACTCCTGCCTTCCTCCTCTTTGTGGTCGCCTTGCTTAGCACTTTGGCAGCAAAACTAGAATGGTGGGAGTGTCTCTAAGTCCCGAGTGACCTTGAGCAAGTCCCTTGCTCTGACTCTCACTTTCATCATCTACAAAATAGTGGGCTAACCTCTTTTAGGATACCTTTAATATTTGGGTGTTACTGGTATAGATGGAGAAGTGGTAATGAGTACCCATTCACCGCAAAGCTTCCCCTTTGCTGATAGAATATCTTCTCCGAGGTTTGACTAGCCCCTAGTCCGAATTCTCCTAGTTCCTGGATTCTCTGGTTCTATTTGTTTTCTATCGATCCTTGTAACTGGAGGAGTGACTTCATCCAAGAGTCACTTAGCACCACTTCACAACACAGCAACACCAGTATCTTCACTGGCCTAAAATCAAAGAGTGGTTGCAAGGAAAAGTTTGACATTCCAACCTTTTTGTTGTATTTCAATGACAGGGAGGCAAGATGACTTCTCAGCCCCAAGCTTGGAACAGCTGAAGGAAACAACAGTACAAGATGAGAACAACCAAGGTCTACAAACTCGTCATCCACAAGAAGGGCTTTGGGGGCAGTGGTCAGTATCGATTGGTCTTTAGGGGTTTTGTAGGTTGGCTGAAGAATACAAGGATATAATATATACCATGTGTACAAATACTATTTTTATATATACCATACAAAGGTAGCTAGATGCTGTATCCAGTCTTTTGCAAGTGCCTTGAAATTACACACTGACTCGTGACAATTGAGGCTCAGCAGGCAACTAAACAGACCAAAGCAGCAACTATAATACAGTAACAAGGGGGATGGCAGGACCCTTCTAAATGCATTTGCATTCACACTTTTAAGGAACATTGTGAATGCTGCCGGTTTACTGCCTTTCATTTGTTTAGTTGTGTTTATTACAAATCTTCCATGTATGTTTCCTAAAATTGCAGCCTGCACTGGTTTGGGAGACAAGAGAAACTAAAATTATATATCAGTTTTTACATTGAGAGAGAAGCAGCATAGATGTGCACAGAGCAAGTATGATCAAAACATGAACCTTTGCCTGGCTTCTAGGCATGGAAAGAAGGGGCAGGATACAGCATGTTATCTTGCACTGAACTAGAGTCTGTGTGTCAGCTCTGCTTCTAACTTTCCTGGTGACCTTAGACAGTCTCCTAGTGTACCTTATCTGCAAGTTGAAGGGCTTTAGAATAGTTTGTCTTAACATCTTTTTTTTTTTTTTTTTTTTTTTTTGAGATGAGCCCCCCCTCCCCCATGTCCAGGCTGGTCTGGAACTCCTGAGCTCAAAGGAACCTTCCATCTCAACCTCCCTAGTAGTTGGGATTAGAGGAATGAGCCACTGTACCCAGCTTTCCTTAGCACCTTAAGTCCACAAATCTGCAGAATAGGAGGGCACGTAGTATATATTATTTTTCTTTTGTAAGGGAATAATTTTCCATTCTGTCTTAACAGCCTTATTTACTTCAGAAATTGGAGTTAACAATATAATGAGTCTTTTTAATATTGTATTTTAGGATGTGTTTATTTCTATGTTATGTAGACAGAAGCCACCAGAGGGCAAGGACCGCCAAAAAGGAAAAACAGTAGTTTCTCTATCATAGGGTGTTGTGAGGCTTAAATAAAATGATATATTTAAAGCATTTAGCAGAGTTTTAGTAGCTATTATAATTACCTAACTATGGCATTGCGTGCGCGCTCTCTCTCTCTCTTTCTATATATATATATGTGTGTATATATATATATATATATATTTTTTTTTTTTTTGAGACGGAGTTTCGCTCTTGTTACCCAGACTGGAGTGCAATGGCGCACTCACCACATCCTCCGCCTCCTGGGTTCAAGCAATTCTCCTGCCTCAGCCTCCCAAGTAGCTGGGACTACAGGCGTGCACCACCATGCCCAGCTAATTTTTTTGTATTTTCAGTAGAGATGGGGTTTCACCATGTAGACCAGGATGGTCTTGATCTCTTGACCTCGTGATCCACCTGCCTCGGCCTCCCAAAGTGCTGGGATTATAGCGTGAGCCACCACGCCCCGCCAGCATTGCTATATTTGAACTAGAATTTCCGCTAAAATGCACAGTATATTGTTACTACTTTGTATGCTGTTGATGTTGCCTAAATATTTGCTGAGTGGAATAGAACACAGAAGTAACTTTTGGCAGAGAGAAGAATACAAGGATATAGTATATACCATGTGTACAAATACGTATTTTTATATATATCATACAAAGGTAGCTAGATGTTGTATCCAGTCTTTTGCAAGACTGTAGATCAAAATGCAACTAACAGGTGGACATGGTGGCTCATGCCTGTAATCACAGCATTTTGAGAGGCCAAGGTGGGCAGATCACATGAGGTGAGGAGTTCAGGACCAGCTTGGCCAACGTGGTGAAAACCCATCTCTACTAAAAATACAAAAATTAGTAAGGTATGGTGGTGTATGCCTGTAATTTTTTTTTTTTTTTTGAGACGGAGTTTCGCTCTTGTTACCTAGGCTGGAGTGCAATGGTGCGATCTTGGCCCACCGCAACCTCCGCCTCCTGGGTTCAGGCAATTCTCCTGCCTCAGCCTCCAGAGTAACTGGGATTACAGGCACGTGCCACCATGCCCAGCTAATTTTTTGTAGTTTTAGTAGAGACGGGGTTTCACCGTATTGACCAGGATGGTCTCGATCTCTTGACCTCGTGATCCACCCGCCTTGGCCTCCCAAAGTGCTGGGATTACAGGCGTGAGCCACCGCGCCCGGTGCCTGTAATTTTAACTACTAGGGAGGCTGAGGCACGAGAATCACTTGAACCCAGGAGGCAGAGGTTGCAGTGAGCAGAGATCACACCACTGCACTTCAGCCTGGGCAATAGAGCAAGACCCTGTCTTAAAAATAAACAAAACCAACAGGTATTTATTAGTTGTATACCTGTACCAGACATAATGATTATGAATATTCAAGGTTCCTTGTCTCTAAGGAGTTTTCAGTTTGGTAAGATAGACAGGCAAAAAGAAAATGATAATATCAAGCAGTTGGAGATATGTTCTCAGGAAGCTTAATTTGGACTATGTAAATTAGGGGGAAACTCCAAGGAGGATTTGGCGTGAAACTGTCAGTGGAAACGTTATAGCAAATAAAATTAGGGATTGCTAGGTGCAGTGATGTGTGCCTGTAGTCCCAGCTACTTGAAAGGCTGGTACAGGAGGATCACTCGGGTCCAGGAGTTCCAGAATGTAGTGCGTTATGCTGATTGGGTGTCTGTGCTAAGTTCAGCATCAATATAGTGATCTCCCAGGAACGGAGGACCACCAGGTTGCCTTAGGAAGTGTGAACCACCTCAGCCTGGGAACAGAGCAGGTCAAAACACTTGTGCTGATCAGTAGTGTGATTATGCCTGTGAACAGCCACTGTACACCAGCCTAGACAATAGCAAGACCCTGTCTCTAAAAGAAAACGAAACAATAATTTAGGAGCAACCAAATGTTTCATTTTACTAGGCTGAATTTTTGTTGGGTCTGATTATATTTAAAATCTAGATATACTTAATTATCATGATATTAGCATAATTAAAGGTGATGTCTTTCACCCAAAATTAAAACAGCAAAACTTAGTCATTTTGTCTTTATGCTTCTGAGTTTGCGATATTTGAGGCAGTTCTCTCCGTCCCTGGGAGAAGGGCAGGGGTAGGTAAACATGAACCACATCTCTCTTATGGCTTTTGTTTGTTTGTTTTTTGAGATTGAGTCTTGCTCTGTTGCTCAGGCTGGAGTGCAGGGGTGTGATCTCAGCTCACTGCAACCTCTGCCTCCTGGGTTCAAGCGATTCTCCTGCCTCAGCCTCCCAAGTAGATAGGATTACAGGCACCTATCATTGCACCCAGCTAATTTTTGTATTTTTAGTAGAGGCAGGGCTTCACCATCTTGGCTAGGCTGGTCTAGAATTCCTGACCTCAAGTGATCTGCCCACCTTGACCTCACAAAGTGCTGGGATTACAGGCTTGAGCCACCTCGCCTGGGCCCTCTTAAGTTTTAAGTGTTTCTTTGGGCCCTAATGTGAACTGGTACTTGACACTTTTCTCTAATCAGGTGCTGCCCTCCAAAGTCCAGGCCATTGTATTTGGTTTGACTTTTATTATATGTGAGAGGTGGTGATGAGCCTCAGGTGGAAGTCCTGAACAGTGCTAAGCAGTGACTAGTACCTAAGATAAGGAGTCCTGGCTGTATTGTTACTGGCTGTCAACTGTTCAACTGTTACTAGCTGTTTCTGAGATTATTTTCTTTTTCTTTTACTTTTTTATTTTATTTTATTTTATTTATTTGTGAGACAGAGTCTTGCTCTGTCGCCCAGGCTGGAGTGCAGGGGTGGGATCTCAGCTCACTGCAACCTCCGCCTCCTGGGTTCAAGTGATACTCCTGCTTCAGCCTCCTGAGTGGCTGGGATTACAGGTGCGTGCCACCATGCCTGACTAATTTTTGTATTTTTTAGTAGAGACGGGGTTTCACCATGTTGTCCAGGCTGGTCTGGAACTCCTGACCTTGTGATTTGCCCGCCTTGGCCTCCCAAAGTGCTGGGATTACAGGCTTGAGCCGCTGTGTCCAGCCTCTTTTTTTTTTTTTTGAGACAATCTCACTCTGCTGCCCACGCTGGAGTGCAATGGCATGATCTCAGCGCACTGCAATCTCTGCCTCCCAGGTTCAAGCGATTTTCCTGCCTCACCCTCCCAAGTAGCAGGGATTACAGGTGTTTGCCCACCATGCCCAGCTAATTTTTGGATTTTTGGTAGAGACGGGGTTTCACCATGTTGGGCCAGGCTGGTCTTGAACTCCTGACATCAGGTGATCTGTCCATCTGGGCCTTCCAAAGTGCTGGGATTACAGGTGTGAGCCACTGTGCCTGGCCTCTCTGAGGTTATTTTCTTATTCCTGTTAGATCCAAAGATTTATTGTGAGAGTCACATTAAGACACTGGGAAATTCTTTGAACATTGAATAACTGCAAGGAATTATGTTATATCTGTGGGAACCAGCCTGTTTTGTTACTATTATATGCCAGATACACAATATTTGAGGGGGTAGAAGGCTGTCCAGAAGCCTAATTCCCAGAGACTGAGGGCTTCTCTGTACCAGGAAACAGTGGGGTAGTGGAAAGAGCACGGGGTATAGAGACAAAGGTACCTTAACACCATTCCACTCAGCTGCTCTGTAGCTTGGTGTTCCTGTGCAAATCCATTAGTCGTTCTAAGCTTCATTTCAAAATAGAACCTCCTCTGTTAATGGAGTAGCAATACCATCCTGATGGGGTTGTGAGGACCCAGTGTGAGAATGTACATAGTATACGTAATTAGTGTTTTCTACTTGAAGTTGTTGAATTGCCTTGCAGATGATGAGCTAGTTGTGAACCCCAAAGTGTTTCCTCACATCAAGCTTGGAGACATTGTAGAGATTGCACATCCCAACGATGAATACAGGTGAGTGTCTCATAGGATCCATGGAACTGGGCAATTTACTGTTTCCAAATTCTATCCAAGGGGTTTTAAGGGCAGGTAGCTCTCTTTGCCTTTCAAAATGCTCATGCCGTGGTGGCTCAAGTCTGTAATTCCAGCACTTTGGGAGGCTGAGGTGGGCAGGTCACTTGAGCCCAGGAGTTTGAGACCAGCCTGGGGAACATAATGAGACCCTGTCTTAAAAAAAAAAAAGTGCTCATGCCTTCTAGGATTTGATCAAGCAATAATTTTTCAAAAGATCACTCCTGACCTTGTGATCTGTCCACCTTTGCCTCCCAAAGTGCTGGGATTACAGGGGTGAGTCATTGCACCCAGCCTTCTTCTGGTTTTAAAGCTGACATGACAACTGAAAGATTCTTTAGCATTTGTTTATTTCCTTTAGTGCATGTGCAGTTTCTTTGTTTCTAAAGGAGCTTTATCCCATTGCTGTGCTGTAAGTTACAGAATGTCTAGAGTGACCTGTTTGCCTTTTGTAGGGGTTAAGGAACTAGGTAGTTACTGCTCACAGTCTTCTAACTCTCTGTTGCTTTTCCAGCCCTCTGCTTTTGCAGGTCAAATCACTTAAGGAAGATTTACAGAAGGGTAAGAATTACATCACTCCTCTCAGATTTTTGTCTTTACTGCCTCAGAAACTGCAAGAAACCTCTCTTCAAAATCTCAAGGGATGAGAGAAAGTAATTCTATTCTTTTTTTAAAAAAAAAACTTTTAATTTAATTTTAGATTCAGGTGGTACATGGGCATGTTTGTTACTTGGATATATTGTGTTCTGGTGGGGATTAGGCTTCTATTGTATCCATTACTCACATAGCGAACATTGTATCTGATAGAACAGATACAGATGCAGAAAATTGTATCTGTATCTGAACATTGTATTTTTCTTTTCTTTCTTTCTTTTTTTTTTTAAACATTATATTTTTCAACTCTCATTTTCTTCCCTTTCTCCCTTTTTGGAATCCCAAGTGTGTATTATTTCCATCTTCATGTCCATGTGTATCCACTGTCTAGTTTCCACTTATAGGTGAGAACGTACAGTATTTGGTTTTGTTTGTGAGTTAGTTCACTTAGGATAATGGGATTACAGGCATGAGCCACCATGCCTGGCCTCTAGGATGTTATTTTCTTACTACTCCTGTTAGATTCAATTAGTCCCAGCTACTCTGGAGGCTGAGGTGGAAGGATCATTTGAGCCCAACAGTTTGAGGTTACAGTGAGCTATGATGGTGCCACCACACTCTAGCCTGGTGAACAGAGCAAGACCTTATCTCAAAAAAAAAAAAAAAAAAAAAAAAAAGAAAGAAAAAAATGCACAACCTGCCCGTTGCCCATGTGAACATCCAAGTAGAGTTCCTCACACCTTGGTCTCCCAAAGTGCTGAGATTGCAGGCATCATCCACCACATCTGGCCCATTTTTGCCGAGACTATTTGTTAAATGCCTACCCTGAGTGAGTAGGGGTTGGGGGAGGAAGAAATATATTTTGATGATTGTCCACCACATGTGCAAGGCACTGTCCTGGGAGCTTTGTGTAATCTAGCTTTATCTTCCCAACAACTCTTGAGTGAGTGAGGAAATTTAGTGTCTGCCAGACTGTGTAGTCTAGGCGTAGCCAGAAGCAGTGATTCCTGCTTACTCATTCTGGATTCAAATCTTTTTTTTTTCCCTCTGTTAGCTATGCCATGCTCTTCAAAGAACCAAAATGTTAATTGATAGTAAATAATATACTCTTTTAAATAGTTCTTAAGAGAAAAAAACAAACTTCTTGGTTGCTCTAAAAGGCTTTGATGGCTGGGCGTGGTGGCTGACACCTATAATCCAGCACTTGGGGACACTGAGGTAGGTGGATCACCTGAGGTCAGGAATTTGAGATCAGCTTGACTAACATGGTGAAACCCCATCTCTACTAAAAATATAAAATTAGCTGGGCATTGTGGCGCATGCCTGTAGTCCTAGCTACTTGGCAGGCTGAGACAGGAGAATTGCTTGAACCTGGGAGGTAGAACTTGTGGTGAGTCGAGATGGTGCCATTGCACTCCAGCCTGGACAACAAGAGCAAAGCTCTGTCTCAAAATGAATAAATAAAGAGTTTTGATGTCACCCACTCTCTTTTTTTTTTTTTTTTAAAAAAAAAGAGATGAAGTCTCACTCACCCAGGCTGGAGGGCAGTGGCAAGATCTTGGCTCACTGCAACCTGCACCTCCTGGGTTCAAGCGATTTTCCTGCCTCAGCCTCCCAGGTAGGTGGGACTACAGTAGCTGTACACCACCATGACAGGGTAATTTTTATGTTTTTAATAGAGATAGGGTTTCCCCATGCTGGCCAGGCTGGTGTCAAACTCCTCACTTCAGGTGATTTGCCTGCTTCAACCTCCCAAAGTCCTGGGATTACAGGTGTGAGCTACTGTACCATCGCACCTGGCATTTTTTTTTTTTTTTTCCCTTTCAGACAGGGCCTCTCTCTGTTGTTCAGACTGGAGTGCAGTGGTGCAGTCTCGGCTCACTGCAGCCTCAACCTCCTGGGTTCAGGCAATTCTCCTGCCTCAGCCTCCTGAGTGGCTGGGATTACAGGCATGCACCACCATGCCCAGCTGATTTTTTGTATTTTTAGTAGAGACGGGGTTTCACCATGTTGACCAGGATGGTCTTGATCTCTTGACCTTGTGATCCACCCGCCTCGGCCTCCCAAAGTGCTGGGATTACAGGCGTGAGCCACCGTGCCCTGCAACTTTAATCTTAAGAATGGCCTTCATGCCTTCCCCCTATCTCCTGCCCCCTGTTATGTTTGTTACCAAACTTAAGGGCTCATTGAAAAGTTTGTTTCTTATTTCACTACCACTGATGATACCTTCATTCCAAAGAGAAGCTCTTCTTCCTCTTCTGGATTTTTATAGGTTTTTGAACTTTCTTATCTTCCTTCTTATTTTATTTATTTATTTGTTTACTGAGAGAGAGTCTCATTCTGTCACCCAGGCTGGAGTGCAGTGGTGCCATCTCAGCTCACTACAATCTCTGCCTCCGGGATTCAAGCAATTCTCATGCCTCAGCCTCCTGAGTAGCTTGGATTACAGGCGCCCACCACCATGGCCAGCTAATTTTTGTAATTTTGGTAGAGACAGGGTTTCACCATGTTGTCCAGGCTGGTCTTGAACTCCTGACCTCATATTACCTTCCTGCCTCCCTCCTAAAGTACTGGGATTACAAGCATGGGCCATTATACCCAGCCTCTTATCTTTCTTCTTAAATCTTTTCCCTCCCTTCTCCCTTTTTCTTTCTTTTTTTTTTCTTTGAGACAGAGCTTCGCCCTTGTTACCCAGGCTGGAGTGCAATGGCACAATGTTGGCTCACCGCAACCTCCGCCTCCTGGGTTCAGGCAATTCTTCTGCCCCAGCCTCCTGAGTAGCTGGGATTACAGGCACGCGCCACCATGCCCTGCTAATGTTTTGTATTTTTAGTAGAGACGGGGTTTCACCATGTTGACCAGGATGGTCTCGATCTCTTGACCTCGTGATCCACCCGCCTCGGCCTCCCAATGTGCTGGGATTACAGGCTTGAGCCACCGCGCCCGGCTGTTTTGTATTTTTAATAGAGACAGGGTTTCACTGTGTTGACCAGGGTGGTCTCTATCTCTTGACCTTGTGATCCACCTGCCTCGGCCTCCCAAAATTCTGGGATTACAGGTGTGAGCCACCGCGCCCGGCCTCCTCCCTTTTTCTATCCCTTTTTGTTGATTGCTTAGCCTCTGGTCTTATTTCACCTTAAAAGCAGAGAATTGTTTAAATTCTAAGCTCCTGAAAGGAAGAGCCTGTGTTGCCCATGTCAGTTGATCAATTGCGTTGCTTACTCTCCGAATATTTATAGATTAGAATATATTGACCTGCATTTTCAGAATGTGTTATCTGAGCCAGATATTATTTCTGTTTTAGAAACTATCAGTGTGGACCAGACTGTGACTCAAGTGTTCCGGCTAAGACCTTACCAAGATGTCTATGTTAATGTTGTAGACCCTAAGGTATGTCTTTGTTTTGGACTTGAATATCTTTTTGGAATGATTAGCACCCTTCCTCAAGGTTAGATTACTAAGGAAATAATGGGTTACTTAAGTGTAGTGTTAGACTATTAAATTGTGTGGCCTGCCAGTATGTTGGGAGGCTGAGACAGGAGGATCACTTGAGGCCAGGAGTTCAAGACCATCCTGAGAAGCATAGCTAGACCTTGTCTTTACTAGAACTATTCTTTTTGTTGTGAGATGGAGTCTCACTCTGTTGCCCAGGCTAGAGTTCAGTGGTGCATTCTCAGCTCACTGCAACCTCCCTTTCCAGGGCTCAAGTGATTATGCTGCCTCAGCCTCCTGAGTAGTTGGGATTACAGGTGTACACCACCACACATGGCTCATTTTTGTACTTTTGTAGAGACAGAGTTTTACCGTGTTGGCCAGGCTGGTCTTGAATTCCTGACCCCAGGTGATTCTGCCTCCTCTTTGGCCTCCCAAAGTGCTGGGATTATAGGCAGGAGCCACTGCACCCTGCCTACTAAAACTTTTCTTTTTTTTTTTTTGAGACGGAGTTTCACTCTTGTTACCCAGGCTGGAGTGCAATGGCGCGATCTCGGCTCACCGCAACCTCCGCCTCCTGGGTTCAGGCAATTCTCCTGCCTCAACCTCCTCAGTAGCTGGGATTACAGGCACGCGCCACCATGCCCAGCTAAAGTTTTTTTTGTATTTTTAGTAGAGACGGGGTTTCACCATGTTGACCAGGATGGTCTTGATCTCTTGACCTCGTGATCCACCCGCCTCGGCCTCCCAAAGTGCTGGGATTACAGGCTTGAACCACCGCGCCCGGCCTACTAAAACTTTTCTAAAAGATTAGCTGGGAGTGTTAGCATGTGCCTGTAGTCCCAACTACTCTGGAGGCTGAGGCTGGAGGATTACCTGAGCCTAGGAGGTTGAGGCTGTAGTGAGCTATGGTTGCACTACTGCACGTCATCCTGGGCAACAGCATGAGACTTTGTCTTATAAAAATAAATATGTAGGTGGTAGGTGGTAGCTCATGCCTGTAATCCCAGTACTTTAGGAGGCCAAGGTGGGTGGATCACTTGAGGTCAGGGGTTTGAGACGAGTCAGAGTTCTGCTACTGATCTTTTAGTAGGTTTTTTTTTTCCATAAAGTTTTTTTCCGTGATAAGTGGGTATTATCTTACGACTATAAAGTGTGGCAAAGTGATGCCAGATATATTATTTGATTATTCCTTTTAGGATGTGACCCTTGACCTAGTGGAGTTAACTTTTAAGGATCAGTATATTGGCCGTGGGGATATGTGGCGACTAAAGAAAAGTTTGGTAAGATGTGATTTTTTTGAAAGTCTGTTACTTTTCCATTATGTGAATAATCCCTGTTTATTATAGGAGAAGAATATAAAATCATTTCTGATTTCAGCATCTACAGACAATTATTGTAAATATCTTGTGTGTTCTTCCATTCTCTTTTCATTTTTTTTAAAATCTTTTGTTTACTGTTACAGATTTTTACTAAGCATTTTTGGTTTAGATAGGAAATTATACTGTATTTTACATTTGAATAGAGCCTTAGTTTTCAGGTTTTCACTTGATCCCATTTGCTCCTCATATCTCCTCTTCATGGACAGTTTTTTTTTTTTTTTTTTTTTTTGAGACGGAGTTTCACTCTTGTTACCCAGGCTGGAGTGCAATGGCGCGATCTCGGCTCACCGCAACCTCCGCCTCCTGGGTTCAGGCAATTCTCCTGCCTCAGCCTCCTGAGTAGCTGGGATTACAGGCACGCGCCACCATGCCCAGCTAATGTTTTTGTATTTTTAGTAGAGATGGGGTTTCACCATGTTGACCATGATGGTCTCGATCTCTTGACCTCGTGATCCACCCGCCTCGGCCTCCCAAAGTGCTGGGATTACAGGCGTGAGCCACCGCGCCCGGCCTTGGACAGGTATTTTTTATCCCTAATTTATAGAGGTAGAAACTGAGATTGAGAAGTTAGGTAGTTACCCAAGGCTAGATAGCAAGTTGACCCTTGGCCAGAACCCCAGTCCTGTTTCTTCCAAATCACACTGCTTTTTGCTTGTACCTCCTCCCATTTTCCTCCTGTATTCATTGTTTTTTTTTTTTTTATTTTTTTTCCGAGACAGAGTTTCGCTCTTTTGAAGTTTCACTGGAGTTTCACTTCACTCCAGGATGGAGTGAAGTGGTGTAATTCTTGCTCACTGCAACCCCGGTTCCCCGAGTTCAAGGGATTCTCCTGCCTCAGCCTCCTGAATAGCTGGCATTATAGGCGCCCACCACTGCACCCTGCTAAATTTTTTTGTATTTTTAGTAGAGTCTGGTTTTACCATGTTAGCTAGGCTGGTCTCAAACTCCTGACCTCAGGTGATCTGCCCGCTTCAGCCTCCCAAAGTGTTAGGATTATGGGCATGAGCCACAGTGCCTGGCCCATTTTTTTAAATAAAAACATTTTTATTTTAATTGTTTTTTTTCTTTTTCTTTAAATGTTCTTTTATTCCATAGGTTATTAGAAAACAGGTGGTGTTTGGTTACATGAGTAAGTTTTTTTTTTTTTAATTTCTTTTCTATGAGTAAGTTCTTTTGGTGTACCTATCATCCAAGCTGTATACACTGTACCCATATTTATTAATTTTTTTATGAACGTTTTTTTTGTTTGTTTGTTTTTGTTTTTTGAGATGGAGTTTCGCTCTTGTTACCCAGGCTGGAGTGCAATGGCGCGATCTCGGCTCACCGCAACCTCTGCCTCCTGGGTTCAGGCAATTCTCCTGCCTCAGCCTCCTGAGCAGCTGGGATTACAGGCACACACCACCATGCCCAGCTAATTTTTTGTAGTATTAGTAGAGACGGGGTTTCACCATGTTGACCAGGATGGTCTCGATCTCTTGACCTCGTGATCCACCCGCCTCGGCCTCCCAAAGTGCTGGGATTACAGGCGTGAGCCACCGCGCCCGGCCGAACATTTTTACTTGTAAAGTTTAGTCATCAGAATTGTGAACTGGTTCTGAAATTTCTCATTGGACTTTTTTTTTTTCAATATTGACACTAATCAAAAGAAGTGAAGTTTTTGCATATTATGAAACAACAAATTATAGGTAGAATTTCCATACAGTGTATTTTCAGGGAAAAAAACTGCTCGATTTTTTTATTTGGTGAGGGTTCTGTTTTCTAAAGTGAGGGATAAAATGAGAAACAACAATATTTAAATGAGTATGTAAATGTAAATGTTGATATATATGTAAACATACACAAAGATAAGTATATTTGTAAAGCTGGTCATTTATTATCCACCTGGTCTTTCCTATTATCTATAGTTGCCAAACTCTTTAAGCACCCACTGTCATACCTGCCCTAGCAGGTTTTCCTGTTGGGTAAATCTATTACTCACAAGTTAGTTGAACTTTGGGTGGGTAGAAGAAATTAGAAAGCTAGGAGTTCTTGTTTGTTATTTTTCATGGCCTTAGTATGTTAATCACTCTCTCTCTTTCTCTCTCTCCCTGCCTCTCTCCCTTCCTCTGTCTCCCCCGCCTCTTAGGTCAGCACATGTGCCTATATCACCCAGAAGGTGGAGTTTGCTGGCATCAGGTAGATATCACATCACTCTTTCCTTATCTGTGCAGTAACTGTGCCACATAAAGCAATTGAGGCATATAGATGTCTGTATAGTAAAATGCATAAAAGTATAAAATGTTAGATTGTTGTAGCTCAAACAAACAACAAAATGCATGATAGTAGCTTGAGACTTAATGGAAGAAGTTGCTGAAGCCACCTGGCCTTCTGTAAAAAAGGAAGTAGAAAAAAAAAAAAGGAGATAGAGACTCATAATTTTAGAACTGGAAAAACCCTAGATGAACATGTCGAATCATACCTTCTCATTTTACAAATTAGGAAATGGGCTTAGACACATAAAATGACTGGCACATTGGTTACCTTTTTAACTATACTACTGTACTCTTTACTAAAACTATTTCTATATTTTAGTTTGTGAATAAAGGGACTTTTTGAAATCCCTTTTAAAAAAGTGGCTGGGTATGTGGCTCATGCTTGTAATCCCAACACTTTGGGATGCAGAGGTGGTTAGATTATTGCTTTAGCCCAGGAGTTCAAGACCAGCCTGGGCAACATAGTGAGACTGTTTCTACAAAAAATACAAAAATTAGCTGGTTGTAGTGGCATGCACCTTGTAGTTCAGCTACTTGGGAGGTTGAGAGTTGGGAGGACCACCTGAGCCCGGCAGGTAGAGGCTGCAGTGAGTTGGGATCACACCACTGTACTCCAGCCTAGGTGACAGAACAAAACCCCTCCCTAAAAAAAAAAAAAAAAAAAAAAGCAGAAGGTGTTTCAGGCATAGGGGCTCACACCTGTAATCCCAGCATTTTGAGAGACCAAGGTAGGCAGAGTGTCCTTGAGCCACAGGAGTTCAAGACTAGCCTGGGCCACATGGTGAATAGTGTCTACAAAAAAAAAAAAAAAACCGGCATGGTGGCGTGTCACTGTAGTCCCAGCTACTCAGGAGGATGAGGTGGGAGGATGACCTGAGCCCTGGGAGGTCGAGGCTGCAGTAAGACATGATCATGCCCCACTGCACTCCAGCCTGGGTGACAGAGGGAGACTGTCTCAAAAAAAAAAAGTACACTATACACATAATTAACATTCAAATAGTTCAGGGAGGTGTCTCATGAAATATACATTCTTCTCCTCAGAAACAACCTGTATGTTTCCTGAAATTTACCGTGTATACGCAGTCATATTTATGTCTTATTAACTCACTGGTGGTTATACCTAAGATTGATCAGTGGGGTCACATGGTGCAGTGTAGACCATCATTATAAAGCTCCCCATCAACTTTTCTTTTTTGGGGTTTTTGGTTTTTTTTGAGATGGAGTCTCACACTGTTGCCCAGGCTGGAGTGCAGTGGTGCGATCTTGGCTCACTGCAACTTCTGCCTCCTGGTTCAAGCAATGCTTCTGCCTTGGCCCCCCGAGTAGCTAGGACTATAGGTGCATACCACCACCATGCCCAGCTAATTTTTGTATATTTAGTAGAGATGGATTTCACCATATTGGCAGGCTGGTCTTGAACTGCCGACCTCGTGATCTACCCGCCTCGTCCTCCCAAAGTGTTGGGATTATAGGCATGAGCCATCTCATCCAGCCTATCTGGTTTAATTTTCAAAACAGCTCTGTAAGGTTTAGGCTTCATTGTTTCTTTTTTTGTTTATTTGTTTTTTGAGACAGTCTCACTCTGTTGCCCAGATTGGAGTGCAGTGGTTTGATCACAGCGCACTACAGCCTTGACCTCTGAGGCCCAAGTGATCCTCCTACCTCAGCCTCCTGGGTAGCTGGAACTACAGGCATGTGCCACCGCACCTGCTTAATTTTTTGTATGTTTTATAGAGACAGAGTCTCACTATGTTGCCCAGGCTGGTCTCAAACTCCTGGGCTCAAGTGATCTGCTAACCTTGGCTTTCCAAAGTGCTGCAGTTATAGGTATGAGTCACCATGTCCGGCCCATTGTCTCATTTTTAAAGATAATGCTACTGAACCTCGTGAGTTACTATGGCCATTCACCTAGTAAGTGATACTCAGCTGGGATTTCTGCCTAGACCAGTTTCTCTCCAGGCTGGTCAGGTCTGAAAGCCATGCTTTTCTACCATACTATCCACTTCTTTTTAATTTTTATTTTATTTTATTTATTATTTTTTTTTTGAGATGGAGCTTCGCTCTTGTTACCCAGGCTGGAGTGCAGTGGCCCGATGTCAGCTCACTGCAACCTCCGCCTCCTGGGTTCAGGCAATTCTCCTTTCTCAGCCTCCTGAGTAGCTGGGATTACAGGCACACACCACCACGCCCAGCTAATTTTTTGTATTTTTAGTAGAGACGGGGTTTCACCATGTTGACCAGGATGGTCTCGATCTCTTGACCTCGTGATCCACCCGCCTCGGCCTCCCAAAGTTCTGGGATTACAGGCGTGAGCCACTGCGCCCAGCCTTTATTTTTATTTTTTGAGACAGAGTTTTACTTTTGTTGTCCAGGCTGGAGTGCAGTGGCATGATCTTGGCTTACTGCAACCTCCGCCTCCCAGGTTCAAGCAATACTCCTGGCTTAGCTTCTGGAGTAGTTAGGATTATAGGCACCCACCACCATGCCTGTTTAATTTTTAGCATTTTTAGTAGAAATGGCCAGGCTGGTCTTGAACTCCTGACCTCATGATCCAGCTGCCTTGGCCTTCGAAAGTGCTGGGATTACAGGCATAAGCCACTGCACCTGGCCTTATACTATCCACTTCTTGCCCTCAAAAATGCATGGAGAAAAATACATCAATCCCAAAACATGTAATGCCAAGTTACCATTAATTTTTTTTTTTTTTTTTTGAGATGAAGTCTCGCTCTGTTGCCTAAGCTGGAGTGCAATGGCGTGATCTCAGCTCACTCCCGCCTCCTGGGTTCAAACAATTTTCTTGCCTCAGCCTCCCTAAGTAGCTGGGACTATAGATGCATGTCACCATGCCCAGCTAATTTTTGTATTTTTAGTAGAGACGGGGTTTCGCCATGTTGGCGAGGCTGGTCTCCAACTCATGACCTCAGGTGATCCACCCACCTCGGCCTTTCAAAGTTCTGGGATTACAGGCATGAGTAACTGCACTTGGCCCTAATTTCTTTCTTTCTTTTTTTTTTTTTTTAAAAGCAGAGTGGTCTCCATTGAATGGGGACCCTGAACCTTTTTTATGCCTTCAGTCTGCTTGTGGTTTTTTTTTTTTTTTTTTGAGATGGAGTCTTGCTCTGTCACCAGGCTGGAGTGCAGTGGCGCAATCTCGGCTCACTGCAACCTCTGCCTCCTGGGTTCAAGCGATTCTTCTGCCTCAGCCTTCCGAGTAGCTGGGACCAAAGGCGTGTGCCACCATGCCCAGCTAATTTTTTTTGTATTTTTAGTAGAGATGGGGTTTCACCATGTTGGCCAGGATGATCTCGATCTCTTGACCCTGTGATCCTCCCACCTCAGCCTCCCAAAGTGCTGGGTTTACAGGTGTGAGCCACCGCGCCCGGCCGTCTGCTTGTGTTCTAATCCTGATACGAAGATGGACTTTTGTCTCTATTGAAATTCATTGTATAAAACCTAGGATTAGCAAAATTGCTCATCAGTACTTCTTAACTTTTTATGTAACATAGACCCTATTGAGATTCTACCAAAGCTATAGTTTCTCTGCCCAGAAAAATTTGCATCATTTCAGAGGGTTCATCTGGCCCACAAGCCCTTCTTTAGACCTATATGTGGACTTCCAGATTAAGAGCTCCTGTTCATGTTCAGTATAATATGAGAGTTCTTTATATTGGACAGTCTGTTCATAGAGCTCTTTTTAGAAATCTGTAACCAGTCAGGTCATTTGAGTATAAATAGCAGAGCCACCTGAAGTTGCCCCTATTTCTTTTTGGTTTGTTTTATTTTTATTTTTTGAGACGGAGTCCCACTCTGTTGCCCAGGCTCGGCTTGCTACAACCGCCTCCTCCTGGGCTCAAGCGATTCTCCTGCTTCAGCCTCCTGAGTAGTTGGGACTATAGGCATATGCCACCATGCCCGGTAAAAACTAAAATTTGCTTTTTTTTTTTTTTGAGACGAAGTTTCGCTCGTTACCCAGGATGGAGTGCAATGGTGCAATCTCGGCTCACCGCAACCTCCGCCTCCTGGGTTCAGGCAATTCTCCTGCCTCAGCCTCCTGAGTAGCTGGGATTACAGGCACATGCCACCATGCCCAGCTGATTTTTTGTATTTTTAGTAGAGACGGGGTTTCACCATGTTGACCAGGATGGTCTCGATCTCTTGACCTCGTGATCCACCTGCCCCGGCCTCCCAAAGTGCTGGGATTACAGGCGTGAGCCACCGTGCCTGGCTTGCATTTTTAATAGAGATGGAGTTTGACCATGTTGGCCAGACTGGTCCTGAACTCCTGACCTCAGGTGGTTTGCCCGTATCGGCTTCCCAAAGTGCTGGGATTACAGGCATGAGCTACCGTACCCAGCATGTCTTGGTTTCATGTAAGACTTGTAATAACTGTGTGTGTATGTTTTCAGAGCACAGGCTGGTGAGCTGTGGGTCAAGAATGAAAAGGTCATGTGTGGTTACATCAGTGAAGATACCAGGGTAAGATTTATAAAATGGGTTTTTGGTTTTATCTCCCCATACCATTATGGCTAGGTCTTAAAATAAAAAATAAAACAAGGGTGGATTGGAAGCCAAATTGGGCAGATTGCTTTATCCCAGGAGCTCAAGACCAGCTTGGGCAACATGGAGAGACCCGTCAGTATAAAAATTAGCCAGGCATGGTGATGGATGCCTCTGTTCCCAGCTACTGGGGAAGCTGAGGTGGGAGGATTACTTGAGCCCAGCAGTTTGAAGCTGCAGTGGATTGTGATTGCATTACTGCACTGCAGCCTGGGCGACAGAGCAAGACCCTGTCTCAAAAACAAAACAAAACAAAAACCACAAAGAAACAAGCAAAAATCTAATAAACTCTTGACTGCTACTGTTTGCCCACATGGAACTCGTAATATTATCAAGGTCTCCTGAAACTAATGTGTTACGGTTGGATGTCTCCAGTTTGGAGTTGATCTTCATTTTCTTCTGAAGGGATCTGTTTAATGTCAGAGAGATAGAGTATCTGGCCTGCAGAATGCCATGCCCACTCATACATAGCAAAAGTTAAACCCAGTGGAAGATCCCATCATAAATATGAAGAGAGACCTTTTCCAACGAAAGTTAACCGTGCTGTTAAAACTGTATGTCTCCTTTTCCTCATTCCCATCTCCATGCCTTCCCCGAGAGCAGAGGTTTTCAAGCAGGGGAGATTTTGCCTCCTTCAGGGGTCTTTTGACAATTTCTAAAGACATACTTGGTTGTCACAACTGAGGGGTTGTGCCATTGGCATCTAGCAAGAATCCTGCTAAACATGCTACATATCCAGAGCAGCCCTCTAGAACAGAGTTATCTGGCCCAAAATGTTAATATGTTGTGAGACTTGTCCTGTGCACTGTGGGATGTTTAGCCATATCCCTGGCCTCTACTCAGTAGACGCCAGTGTCGCCCACCACTCTTCACCCTACAAGTCTACACGTCATGACAGCCAGGAATTTCTCCGGACATTGCCAAATGTCCCCTGAGGGACAAAATCACCCTTGGTTGAGACCTCTTGTGCCCTTAGAGGAAACCACTCTGTGAACTTTATTTTTGTAATTTCTTATTTTTTACATAGAATGTGTTTACATTTATACATGACCCAATTAATTGCCAGAGTACTCACCATTATTGTGCCTTTGCTTTCCTGCAAAGGTACCTGAAAGGTGAAATTTAGCTAGTTTATAAATGTTGGGGTGAAGAGCGTTCTAGGCAGAGGAAACAATTTTCGGAGGCCAGTGTGGTGGAAGTATTGCAGACAGGTAGGGAGAACAATGTTGTTGAGGAGATAGGCAGGTTCCACCCAGTCCATGCAGGGTCTTCAAGGTGGTTGGAACCAGTTTAGAGTTATTCTAAGGAGAATTAGAATCCATTGATGGGTTTTAAGTTGGGGAGTGATACTTGAACTATGTTTTTATTTATATTTATTTATTATTTCCTTTTTGAGATGCAGTCTTGCTCTGTAGCCAGGCCGGAGGGCAGTAGTGCGATATTGGCTCACTGCAACCTCCACCTCCTAGATTCAAGCGATTCTTCTGTCTCTGCCTCTGCCTCCTTAGTAGCTGGGACTACAGGCGCACGCTAAACACCCAGCTCATTTTTGTATTTATTTATTTATTTATTTTGAGATGGCATCTCGCCCTGTCTTCCAGGCTGGAGTGCAGTGGCGTGATCTCGGCTCACTGCAACATCTGCCTCCCTGGTTCAAGCAATTCCCCTGCCTCAGCCTCCCGAATAGCTGGGATTACAGGCACACACCACCACGCCTGGCTAATTTTTTGTATTTTTAGTAGAGATGGCGTTTCACCATGTTGGCCAGACAGGTCTAGAACTCCTGACCTCAGGCAGTCCACCTGCTTTGGCCTCCCAAAGTGCTGGGGTTATAAGCATGAGCCCCCGCGCCTGGCCTAATTTTTGTATTTTTAGTAGAGATGGGGCTTCACCATGTTGGCCAGGATGTTCTCAATCTCTTGACCTTGTGATCTGTCCTCCTTCTTCTCCCAAAATGCTGAGATCACAGACATGAGCCAGTGCACCTGGCTGAATTATGCTTTTAAAAGATCATTACTCATTTCAGTTGGGTTTTGTTGAATAAAACCCCCAAAATCACAGTGGCTGTAGTGGCCAAAGGCCAACTTTTCTCTCTCATGTAAAGAAATTCATGGGTATGTAATTCATGATTGGTGTGATAGCATCACTATTGTTGGTGATCTAGGGCTCCTTGTGTCTTCTTACTCTCTTATCCTCAGGATAGGTCTTCCATGATCCACCTAGAACTGCTATAATCACATCCATATATCAGGCAGAAGATAGAGGAAGGGAAGAGAGATGAGAGAGGTGTACCTTCCCACCAAGTCAGCTTCCTTTATGTACACAACACTTCCATTTACATCTTCCTGGCCACATTTTAGTCACTTGTAACTCCTAAGGAGGCTGGGAAGGTTTGTCTTTTGGTTGGGTCTCTTTCCTCCCAGAATAGAATCAGAAGAAGGGAAGAATGGATAGGCGTTTAGCATTAAGTGCCGCAGCCCTTCTGGCTCTGGTGTAGAGAGTTGTTTCCAGGGGTAAGAGTAAAAAGCAAATAAATGAGTTAGGGGGTCTACAAGAAAATGGTTGTGTGGACTAAGGTGAGAGCTATAACAATGGAAGGATGTGGGTAGGTATGAGACACATTTCTGGATAGGGTCCACAGAACTTGCTCATAGATTGGATGTGAGGAGTGAAGGAAAGAGAAGGACTGAACAGCTAGGTGGATGGTGGTGCCGTTTATGAATAAAATGGGGAAGACAGGGAAGAAGCAGGTTGGGGGGATTAGGAAGCCCCATTTTGGAGAAGCCTGTTGGACATCTGAGTAGAGGAATCAGGGGAGGCAGTTGAGTCTGGAGTCTCTGTATCACTTTTCCCATGTGTTGTTCCCCACTGCCCCTTAGTGTCCTAGCCACGCAAACCACTCATTGTTCCCCAACATGCCATCTTCTCTCTTGCCACCATGTCTTTGCACATACGGCCCTCTGTAGCCTGGGGTGCCTAGTCCCTGCCTTTACCCTTCACAAGCCACTCTTCTAGATCTCAACTCTGGTCTCAGGCTTCTCTGCGTTGGGAAAGCCTTTCTGGTACACCAGGCTGGAAGTACCTCCATGGCTTCTGCTGGAAGTGCTTCCAGCCTGGTGGATCTATACACTCATTAGTAGTTCCCACACTGCGGTGGATACGGTTGCTTGTGTACCTTGTCGCTGGACTATAAGCACCCTCAGAGCAAGGACTGCATCTTTTACCTTTAAATGCCAAAGTTCTCTGTCATGTCTCCTGGTACCTAGTAGTCTCTAAAATGTTTGTGGAGTGAACTTTTAGACAGACTCCCCTGTCTCAAGGATTCATCATCCGATTAGAGAAATAAGACTTTCAGGTCTTCTATTTAATGAATTAATTATTTTTGAGATGGGAATCTTGTTGTGTTACCCAGGGCTTCCTTCCTGGGCTCTAGCAGTCCTGTTTCAGTATCTGGAATTACGGGTACAAGCCACCACACCCATCAAAAAAGCACAATTTTATTTATTTAGTTAGTTTTTGAGACAAAGTCTCACTCTGTTGCCCAGCCTGGAGTGCAGTGGCATGATCTCGGCCCATAGCAACCTCTGCCTCCTGGGTTGAAGCGATTCTCTGGCCTCAGTCTCCGATTAGGTGGGATTACAGGTGCCTGCCACCATGCCTGGCTGATTGTTGTATTTTTAGTATAGACAGGTTTCGCTGTGTTGGTCAGGCTGGTCTCAAACTCCTGTCCTCAGGTGATTGACCTACCTAAGCCTCCCAAAGTGCTGGGATTACAGGTGTGAGCCCGGTGGCTGGCTAGGAGCTTCAGTCTTTAAGGAACAGGTCTCTGATAAACTAAAGGAGTGTTAGAGGTCGGCATTTTGCATTCCTTCTAAACTTCTTTAGAGCCTTGTGGAGGAAAGGCTCTGTGGCATGGCACACATGGCCAGAAAGCCATATATGCTTCTCCTTGAGGCAGTCTGAGTATAGGGGAAGTACGATGTGAATTATAATTTATCAGACTGGCAGCTTGTTGTCTGGCACATCTTAGTCCAAGCTCTGTGCCTGTAATGAGATTTCCATAACTTTCCCAGGTAGATCTGCCCTTTCTCCTGCATTTCTTGTGTGAACCTTCATAGAACCTTTGTATATGTTCTAATGTTTTTGTCTTGTACTGTAAGCTCCTAGAGAGCAGGGACCAGATCTTATCCTCATTGTCTCTGAAACAGGGCTCAGAATAAGAGCTCAGTAACTATTCATATGAAACAAAGAATGCTTGGAAGAAGCTTCCTTTTAGAAGTCCCAAGTCATGACCCTGCCAACACTTTGGGAGGGAGAGGTGGGAGGACTGCTTGAGCCCAGGAGTTTGAAACCACTCTGGGCAACGTAGGGAGACCCATCTCTACAAAAAAAAAAAAAATTTGTGGCCCGGTGGTACATTTTCATAGTCCCAGCTACTTGGGGGGCTGAAGTGGGAGGGTCGTTTAAGCTTGGGAGCTTGAGGCTGCAGTGAGCATGATTGTGCCACTGCACTTCGGCCTGAGTGGCAAGAGTGAGAGCCTGTCTCAAAAAAGAAGAAAAAAAGAAGTCCAACATCGCAAGATTCTTTTATCATTGCTTTAAAGAAAAATTGTGGTTAAAAAGCCCATCATAAAATTTACCATCTTAACCATTTTTAAGTGTATAGTTCAGTAGTGTTAACAGCATTTATACTGTTGTGAAGCAGATCTTCAGAACTTTTTCATCTTATAGAACTGAAACTCTGTATGTCATTGCTTTTTAATACAATTGTGTTTTTGTTTATTTCAGGTGGTGTTTCGTTCTACGTCAGCTATGGTTTACATATTTATTCAGATGAGCTGTGAAATGTGGGATTTTGATATTTATGGTACTGTTCTTATGTGCTGGTTGTAACTGCTTTGGGGAGAATTTTCTGGAACTGCGAATGCTAATTCATGAATGCCCAGGGTCCCCCACATCATCTTCTAACAAACTTTATCACTGTGGAATAATCATATTTCAAGTTAGATTATTCTCTTGTTCTGAATATACACTGCTTTTTTCAATAATCAAACCTTTTTTCAAACTTGCATTTTACCTTGAAGCCACAGCCTCTTAGTAGTGAGGCAGATATTAAATTTGGCTTCAAAAAATAAATAAACTTGGCTTTATAGAAAGTTGAGAATGAAGCCGAGCACGGTGTCTCACGCCTGTAATCCCAGCACTCTGGGAGTCCAAGGTGGGAGGATTGCCTGAAATCAGGAGTTTGAGAGCAGCGTGGTCAATATGGTAAAACCCTGTCTCTACTAAAAATAGAAAAAATTAGCCGGGTGTGGTGGTGGGCGCCTGTAATCCCAGCTACTCTGGAGGCTGAGGCTGGAGAATCACTTGAACCCAGGAGGCGGAGGTTGCAGTGAGCCAAGATTGCGCCACTATACTCCAGCCTGGGCAACAAGAGTGAAACTCCATCTCAAAAAAAAAAAGAAGTTGAGAATGAAACCACTTTGTACATCTGGCTTTTATGATCTTGTTTTAAGATGTATAAAACAGGCCGGGTGCAGTGGCTCACACCTGTAATCCTAGCACTTTGGAAGGCCAAGACCGGGCAGATCACCTAAGGTCTGGAGTTCGAGACCAGCCTGGCCAATATGGCAAAGCCCCATCTCTACTAAACTTACAAAAATTAGCTGGGCATGGCGGCAGGTGCCTGTACTCCTAGCTTCTCGGGAGGTTGAGGCAGGAGAATGCTTGAACCCAGGAAGTGGAGGTTGTAAGTGAGCTGAGATCGCACCACTGTACTCCAGCCTGGGTGACAGAGGGAGACTCCATCTCAAAAAAAAAAAAAAAAAAAAAAGGGGGGAGGGTGTTCAAAACACACCTTATTTTTGGTCCCCTTTCTTAGAGAATTAATTGCTTAGAGAAGAATTTACTTAGAGAAGAAATTATAAGCGAGAAATAAAGATTGTCCTTATCCTCTCTTCATTGTTTTTTTTTTTTTTGTTTGTTTGTTTTTTTGTAGGGGATTTGTATTTTGAGAAAGCTGTGAATGGTTTCCTTGCTGATCTATTTACCAAGTGGAAGGTATGTTTTTCTTACACACTAAGTCTGATTGTATAAACATTACTCAATACAGATTTTTTAAATGTACTCTTTTTGTTAAGTTGCCCTAAATTGAGCTATCCTGGCTAAAACCCAAATTTCGGATTTAAATTACCCTAATCTCAATTTATGAATATTTATGAAAAGCACACAGCTAACATCACACTCAATGGTAAAACACTGAAAACTTTCCCTCAAGATCAGTAACAACATAAGTATGCTTGCTTTTGCTACTGGTATTCAACATTATACTAGAAGTTCTAGACAGACCACCTAGGTAAGCAAAAGAAATAAAAGGCATCCAAATTGAAAAAGAAGTAGAACTATGTCTATTCACAGATGATATGATCCTAAATGTAGAAAATCCTCAAAAATCCACAAAATAAGTATTAGAGCTCATACATTTAGCAAAGTTTCAGGATACTTAATCAACATACAAAATTAATTGTGAGGCCGGGCGCGGTGGCTCAAGCCTGTAATCCCAGCACTTTGGGAGGCCGAGGCGGGTGGATCACGAGGTCAGGAGATCGAGACCATCCTGGTCAACATAGTGAAACCCCGTCTCTACTAAAAATACAAAACATTAGCTGGGCATGGTGGCGCGTGCCTGTAATCCCAGCTACTCAGGAGGCTGAGGCGGGAGAATTGCCTGAACCCAGGAGGCGGAGGTTGCGGTGAGCCAAGATCGCGCCACTGCACTCCAGCCTGGGTAACAAGAGCGAAACTCCGTCTAAAAAAAAAAAAATTAATTGTGTTTCTGTATACCAGCAATGAAAATCTGAAAAAATAAAATACTTAGAATACTTTATCCCCAGAGCTGTAAGACTGGTACACTAAAATCTGTAAGACACTGTGAAATAAGTTAATGAAGACCTAAGTAAATAGTAACCTGTGTTCACAGATGGAAAGACTTAATATTGTGGTAATATTTCCCAAAGCAATTTATAGTTTAATGCAGTTCCTGTCAGAATCCCAGTGTCTTTTTTTTTTTTTTTTTTTTTGCAGAAATAGAAATGCTGATCCTACAATTCATGTGGAATTGCAAGGGATCCTGACTAGCCAAAACAATCTTTAAAAGGAGAACAAAGTTGGAAGACTCTTACTTCCTAATTTCAAAACTTAATAAAACCCACAATCATCAGAATAGTGTGATATTGGCATAAGGATAGATATATAGATCAGTGGAATATAATTGAAACTAACCTGTACATCTATGGTCAGTTGATTTTAGACAAGGGCATCAAGTTCATTTAATGAGGGAAAGAATATTCTTTTCAACAAATTGTTCTGGAACAACTGAATGTCCATGTGGAAAAGAATGAATTTGGACCCTTACCTCAGATCATATATGAAATGTAATGGAAATGAATCAAAGACTTAAAGATAAGTGCCATAATCTGCTGGGGGCTCACACCTGTAATCCTAGCACTTTGGGAGGCTGAGGTGAGCAGATTAGTTGAGGTCAGATCAGGAGTTTGAGACCAGCCTGGCCAGCATAATGAAACCTTGTCTCTACTAAAAATACAAAAATTAGCTGGGCATGGTGGTGGGTGCCTATAATCCCCTTAGGAAGCTGAGACAGGAGAATTGCTTGAACCTGGGTGGCGGAGGTTGCAGTGAGCCAAGATTATGCCACTACACTCCAGCCTGGGAAACAGAGTAAGGCTCCATTTAAAAAAACAAAAAAAAAGAAAAAGCTAAAATTATAAAACTGAACCAGGTGTGTGGTGGCTCATGGGAGGCCAAGGTGAGTGGATTGCTTGAGCCCAGGAATTTTAGACCAGACCCAGCAATATGGCAAATATTCTTTCCACAAAATATATAAAAATTTAGCTGTGCAGTGGCCAAAAAAAAAAAAAAAAAAGAATTTTCTGTTTCCTTATTTTAAATAAAATAAAACTTTTTAAAAATAAGGAAACTCCAGCCTGTCTGGAGTGCAGTGGTGCAATCTCAGTTCACTACAACCTTTGACTCCCTGCTTCAAGCAATTCTTCTGCCTCAACCTGCTGAGTAGCAGGGATTACAGGTGCCCACTACTACACTCAGCTAATTTTTTTGCATTTTTACTAGAGACAGGGTTATAACATGTTGGCCAGGCTGGTCTCGAACTCCTGACCTCGGGCAATCTGCCTGCTTTGGCCTCCCGAAGCACTGAGATTATAGGCATGAGCCACCACACCCAGACTAAAAAGTTTTATAATTTTTATTTATTATTAATTAATTATAGAAATGGAGTTTCACCACGTTGGCCAGGCTGGTCTCAAACTCCTGACCTCAGGTGATCTGCCTCGGCTTCCCAAAGTGCTAGGATTACAGGCGTGAGCCAACGTGCCCAGCCTTTTTTTTTTTTTTTTTTGAGACAGGGTCTCACCATCACCCAGGCTAGAGTGCAATGGAGCGACCATAGCTCACTGCAGCTTTGACTTCCTGGGCTCCAATGATCTTCCTGCCTTAGCCTGAGTAGCTGGGACTACAGGTGTTAGCTACCACACCTGGCTAATTTTTAAAAATTTTTTGTAGAGATGGAATTTTGCCAGGTTGTCCAGGTTGGTTTCAAACTCCTGAGCTCAAGCAGTCACCCACCTTGGCCTCCCAAATTGCTAGGATTACAGATGGAACCACCACGCCTGGCCAGGAAATTCATATGATCTTGAATTTGGCAGTGGTTTCTTAGATATAACACCAAAAGCACAACATCCAAAGTAAAAGCAGATGAATCCGACCTCGAAATTAAAAACCTCTGTGCATCACTTTTTTAATGCAAAAAGTGAAGGGACCAGACATATTGGCTCACACCTTTAATCCCAGCCCTTTGGGAGGCTGGAGGTGGGAGAATCGCCTTAAGCCAAAAGTTCAAGAGTAGCCCAGGCAATGAAATGAAACCCTGTCTCTACAAAAATAAAAATAGAAAAAATATAGCTGGATATATTGGCAAATGCCTGTAGTCCCAATTTCTCAAGAGGCTGAGGCTAGAGGATCCCCTGAGCACAGAAATTTGAGGTTACAGTATAATTGTATCACTGCACTTCTACCTGGGTGACAGGACAGTGAGACCTTGTCTCTTAAGAAATAAAACAAACAAAAAGAAATCCTACAGAATGGGAGAAAATATTTGCAAATTATCTTCTGATAAAAGTCTATTATCCAGAAAATATGTAGAATTTCTCTAACTCAAGAACGAAAAGAAAAAACCCTAGTTCACAAATGGGCAAAGGCTGCCCCATTCTCCGTTATGTGATTATTTCACATTACATGCCTGTATCAAAACATCTTATGTACTCCATGGTTAGAAACACCTAGTATGTACCCATAAAAATTAAAAAATAATTAAAATAATTAAATAAAAAAATGAAAGCAAATGGGCAAAGGACTTGAATAGACTTTTTTTTCTTAAATTTTACTTTAAGTTCTGGGGTACATGTGTGTTTCTTTAAAGAATATATATAAATGGCCAAGAAGTACGTGAAAAGTTGCTCAAGATCATTAGTCTTGAGGAAAAATGCAAACTAATACCACAGTGAAATGCCGCTTCACACCCATTAGGATGACTGTATTTTTTATTTTTATTTTATTTTATTTTTTAAGACAGGGTTTCACCATGTTGGTCAGGCTGGTCTTGAACTCCCTACCTCAGGTGATCCACCCACCTTGGCCTCCAAAGTGCTTGGATTACAGGCGTGAGCCACCACGCCCGGCCCTGTATTTTTTTTTATTTTTGAGACAGGGTCTTGCCATGTTGCCCAGGCTAGAGTGCAGTGGCACAATCATAGCTCACTGTAGCCTTTAGCATCTGGGTTCAAGCCATCCTCCCTCTTCACCCTCCTGGGTAGCTAGGACTGCAGGCATGTGCCATTATGCCTGGCTACTTTTTAAAAAATTTTTGGTGGAGATGAGGTCTCACTATGTTATCCAGGCTGATCTCGAACTTCTTCCCACCTTGGCCTCCTAATGTACTGAGATTACAGGCATGAACTACAGTGCCTAGCCCATATTATTATTATTTTTTTTGAGACGAAGTCTTGCTCTATTGCCGAGACTTGGCTCACTGCAACCTCCGCCTCCCAGGTTTAAGCAATTCTTGTGACTCAGCCTGCCAAGTAGCCGGGATTACAGGTGTACACCACCCTACCCTGCTAGTTTTTGTATTTTTAGTAGAGATGGGGTTTTACCGTGTTGGCGACGCTGGTCTCAAACTCCTGGCCTCAGTGACCTGCCCGCGTTGGCCTTCCAAAGTGCTGGACTGATTACAGGTCTAGCCCATATTCTTGACAGCATTATTCATGTTAGCTGAAAAGTAGGACAACACAAATGACAAGTGCTTGTCAGCTAAAGTATGGATAAATAAAATGTATATCCATACAAATAGTATTATTCTGCCATAAAGAGGAATGAAGTACAGCATATACCACAGCATAGATGAATCTTGAACACATACTAAATGAGAGAGGCTGGACATAGTGGGTCAAATATAAATTATAAGATTTTATTTATATGAAATACCAGAATAGGTAAATATATCGAGATTAGTGGTTGCCAGAGACTGAGGGTAGGGAGTGACTGTTTAATCAGTTTGGGATTTCCTGTTGGGGTGATGAAAATGTTTTGGATCTAAATAATGGTGATAGTTATGTAACATTTGAATGTATTAAATGTTACAATGGCAATATTTACGTTATATATATTTTGTCAGAGTTAAAAAATTATTTCATTAAATTATATCACCTTGATTTCACATGAAAACATTTCGAAGAAAAAGTATTTATTGAAGTTACATTATGTAGTGTAAAAGTGCAGAGTTTGGATTAAGGCTGGCTGGGTTTTTTTTTTTTTTTTTTTTTTTTGAGACGGAGTTTCACTCATGTTGCCCAGGCTGGAGTGCAATGGCGCGATCTTGGCTCACCGCAACCTCCGCCTCCTGGGTTCAGGCAATTCTCCTGCCTCAGCCTCCTGAGTAGCTGGGATTACAGGCACGCACCCCCATGCCCAGCTAATTTTTTGTATTTTTAGTAGAGACGGGGTTTCACCATGTTGACCAGGATGGTCTCGATCTCTTGACCTCGTGATCCACCCGCCTCGGCCTCCCAAAGTGCTGGGATTTGGCTGGGTTTTTAATGATCTCATTAGCTTGCTTTTTTTTTGTTTGTTTGTTAAATTAGGAGACAGGGTCTTGCTATGCTGCTCAGGCTGGCGTTGAACTCCTGGGCTCCAGTGATCCTCTCACTTCATCCTCCTCAGTAGTTGGGACTACAGGCGCAGGCCACCATACCTGGCTGATAAGCTTTTTGATCTCCAAGAGTTAGGCTCTGAGGCTCCATTTCTTTAACTGCAAAATGGAGATAATACTAGTTCCTCTTTCCGCACCATTTATGGGTTGAGACACTCATGCCCACATCAGCCCATTGTGAAGCGTTTTTCCTGTGTATCACTTGCACTAAAATTAGATAAGGGTGCTGAGTTTGGAGATCTTGGAGTCCAGTGTATTAACTGGTCGTCCGTGAAGGTCTGTTGTTTTCTGGCACTCTGCTCTTGGTACTGTGGCTTGTATTTAGGAATTTCTGTTCACTTGAGGTACATCCATGAAAGAATATAAGGTGGCATATAATGTGCCTTATATTATGTGCCTTATATAGTGAGTGTTGAATTCTGTAGTCATTAAGTGTACTTGGGATAAAGATGGGGTTGGTCAGTATAGGTTGTTGTCTTGAAAGACCCAGGAAGAACTGAAACTGAGCTTACAAGCTCACTGGTGCAAGCCACTTTTCATGTTCATCCATAAACACCCTGCTTCCGGGCTGTTTTTCTCCAGACTCCATGGAGATGTTTATCTCATTAGTCCTCATCCCTGTCCAAAGGGAGTTCTTTGCCTTGGCTTATACCACTGAGTCTGGAGCAAATCACCACCCCCATCCTATAGCAGTGGTAGGGTGTGGGAATGTCTTTGATTCTTAAATTCATCACCATGGGTGCTGTTCTCATTCCCTAAACCAGAGTTGTACAGAATTTAAAAAACACTGTAGGCTGGGCATTGTGGCTTATGCCTGTAATCCCAGCACTTTTGCCAAGGCACGTGGATCACTTGAGCCCAGCCTGGGCAATATGGTGAAACCCTATCTCTCCTTTTCTTTTTTGTTTTCTTTTTTTCTGAGATGGAGTCTTGCTCTGTCATCCGGGCTAGAGTGCAGTGGCACAGTCTTGGCTCACTGCAGTCTCCACCTCCCAGGTTCAAGTGATTCTCCTGCCTCAGCCTCCGAAATAGCTGGGACTAAGGCATGTGCCACCATGCCTGGCTAATTTTTGTGTTTTTAGTGGAGATGGGGTTTTGCCATGTTGGCCAGGCTGGTTTCAAACTCCTGACCTCAGGTGATCCACCCATTTCAGCCTCTCAAAGTGCTGGGAATACCGGCATAAGCCACCATACCCAGCTGAAACCCTATTTCTACAAAAAAATGCAAAAATTATCTGGGCCTGGTGACATGTGCCTGTGGTTTCAGGGTGCCCGTAGTCTCAGCTACCTGGGAACTGGGAAACGGGGACTATTACTACTGCTGATTTGCAGTTTTCCAGTCACTTTCCACATTCCTGGCACTTAAGGTAACTTCCCCAAGGTCACATAGTGGTAAGTTTTAGGGCCAGGACTCCATTTACGTCTTCTGACTCCAAGCAGTGCTGTGTCCCCTGCACTGTGCACCCTATAATTACATGAAGCTATTCAATACTGTGCACTGCTGCTGAACTGCTTAGGATTAAGAATACTGTATGCAGCTGAGCCTCACGCCTATAATCCCAGCACTTTGGGAGGCCAAGGCAGACTGATCACTTGAGGCCAGGAGTTCGAGACCAGACTGGCCAACATGGTGAAACCCTGTCTCTACTGAAAATACAAAAATTAGCCTGGCATGGTGGTGCACACTATAATCCCAGCTACTCTGGAGGCTGAGGGAGGAGAATTGCTTAAACCTAGGAGGTGGAGGCTGCAGTGAGCTGAGATCATAACACTGCACTCCAGCCTGGACAACTGAGGGAGACCCTGCCTCAAAAAAAAAAAAAAAAAAAAAAAGAATATTATGTGCCTGCAAGCTGCTTCATAGTGAAGTAAATCAAACAAATTTCAACCCTGTTTTTCTCTGTTCATGCTTAGGAGAAGAACTGTAGTCATGAAGTGACAGTGGTCCTGTTTTCTAGAACTTTCTATGATGCAAAATCTGTTGGTGAGTGACTCTTTCTCTCCTACAATTGTTATTTTGTTACGCTTCCTGCATCCACACCCCAACCATTTTCTTTCATTTTTTTTTCTTGTACTTTTCTGCCATTCCCATCTTTTCTGTTATGAGGACAGGGTAAAAGGGAAAGTAGCAGAGTCAATTAGTGGATGCAAGGGGTCTGTGGGCCGTGATTCATCCTAAATCCAACTTAATAGATAGACAGTTGGCTGGGCACAGTGGCTCACACCTGTAATCCCAGAACTTTGGGAGACTGAGGTGGGCAGATAACCTGAGGTCAGGAGTTGAAGATCAGCCTGGCCAACGTGGTACAACCCCGTCTCTACTAAAAATACAAAAATTATCTGGGTGTAGTGGCATGTGTCTGTAATCCCAGCTACCTGGGAGGCTGAGGCAGGAGAATCATTTGAACTCAGGGAGCAGCAGTTGCAGTGAGCTAAGATCTGTCTCACCACTGCACTGCAGCCTGGGTGACAGTGCCAGACCTTGTCTTGAAAAAAAAAAAAAAAAAAAAAAAAAAGATAAACAGTTATCTTTATTTTTTTGTTATGTAAATCTTTAATCGAGAAGAGGAAGCTGAAAAAACTGAATTTTTCTTCTCAACCTGAACTACATACTCCATTTTCTCTATTTCAGATGAATTTCCTGAAATAAACCGAGCCTCAATTCGACAGGATCACAAAGGGAGATTCTATGAAGACTTTTACAAGTGTGTTTGGGTGCTTTGCTATACCTTTTATTTATTTATTGGTTGTTTCTTTCCTAACTTGAAAAAAAAGTCAGGCTGGGTGCGGTGGCTCACGCCCGTAATCCCAGCACTTTGGGAGGCTGAGGCAGGCAGAGGTCAGGAGCTCGAGACCAGCCTGACCAACATGGAGAAACCCCATCTCTACTAAAAATACAAAATTAGCTGGATGTGGTGGCACATGTTTGTAATGTCAGCTACTCGGGAGGCTGAGGCAGGAGAATAGCTTGAACTCAGGAGGCAGATGTTGTGGTGAGCTGAGATCGAGCCATTGTACTCTAGCCTAGGCAACAAGAGTGAAACTCCATCTCAAGAAGAAAAAACAAAAACAAAAAAGTCATTCTGGGCAACATGGCAAAGTCCCGTCTCTACCAAAAATGCAAAAAATTAGCAGCCTGTGGTCCCAGCTATTTGGGAGGCTGAGGGTAGGAGGATCACTTGAGTCTGGGAGATGGAGGTTGCAGTAAGCTGAGATCACACCACTGCACACCAGCCTGGGTGAGAGTGAGACCCTGTCTCCAAAAAAAAAAAATTAATAAATAAACCTTTTAATTTTGAAATAATTTTAGATTTACAGAGAAGCTTCAAAGATAGCAGAGTTCCTGTATATTCTTTGCTCTGTTTCCTCTAACGTTAACATTTCATAACCAAGTTACATTTGTCAAAACTAGGTTAACATTGGTACATTGCTATTAAGTAAATTTAGACATTTTTCAGATTTTGGCACTCGTGTACTTGCTGTCTGCAATCCAAGATACCACATTGCATGTAGACTGTCTAAATGTTTTATTGTTAAAGATTTTGATATGCAGAAAAGAAGAGCAAATAATATAATGAGCCCAAAAACCCAATACCTGAAGTTAAATTATTATTTTGCCATATTTGATTCATCTGGATTTTTCAGTTCCACTGACTAATTATCAATATAACATTTTATCCCCATACATATTCAAAAATGGCATTTTTATATCTGACTATTGTATCATTTTCATGTTTAACATTATTATTATTATTATTTTTAGACACAGTTTCACTCTGTCCCCCGGGCTGGAATGCAGTGGTGCAATCTTAGCTCACTGCAAACTCCACCTCCCGGGTTCAAGTGACTCTTGTGTCTCAGTCTCCTGAGTAGCTGGGACTACAGGTGCCCGCCACCATGCCTGGCTAACTTTTTGGTATTTTTAGTAGAGACGGGGTTTTGCCTTGTTGGCCTGGCTGGTCTCAAACTCCTGACCTCAGGTGATAGGCCCACCTTGGCCTCCCAAAGTGCTGGGATTACAGGCAGGAGCCACCATGCCTGGCCGACACCGCTACCTTATTTAGATGATTATCAGATAGTAATAGTTATCGTTTTTTCAGGACTTATCATGAATGGGGTACTCTTTTAAGCACTTTACATGACTTGATTTATTTAAATATTATAGCATTTCTGTGGGATATATACTGTTACCCATTTTACGTATGTGGAAACTTGGACACAGAGTTTCGGTAACTTATTCAAAGTCCACAAAACATTGAGTGGTGGAACATGGGCCTGACACAGTCAGTCTAGTTCAGAGTCTCTGCTTTTTGACCACTGTATTCCTCAGCCTCATACTGATTATGCTTTATTTATTTTTAATTTTTTTTTTTTTTTTAGAGATGGGGTCTCCATGTTGGCCAGGCTGGTCTTGAACACTTGACATCAGGTGATCCGCCCACCTCGGCCTCCCAAAGTGCTGGGATTATAGGCGTGAGCCACCGCACCCGGCCCTGATTGTACTTTAAATTATTTGTTGATCTTCTGTTGGATCCTGTACCACTTGGTGAATTTTATGAAAGTGATGTCGGGCGCAGTGGCTCACACCTTAATCCTAGCACTTTGGGAGGCCGAGGCGGGTGGATCACGAGGTCAAGAGATCGAGACCATCCTGGTCAACACGGTGAAACCCCGTCTCTACTGAAAATACGAAAAATTAGCTGGGCATGGGGGTGCGTGCCTGTAATCCCAGCTACTCAGGAGGCTGAGGCAGGAGAATTGCCTGAACCCAGGAGGCGGAGGTTGCGGTGAGCCGAGATCGCGCCATTGCACTCCAGCCTGGGTAACAAGAGCGAAACTCCCTCTCCAAAAAAAAAAAGAAAGTGATGGGTGATTGTCTGTATTGACACCTCCACTCATCCCATTATGCAGATGAATTCTGCATACCTCTAACTCAGTGAATTAGTCCGCCTGCCTGGACCTCCCAAAATGCTGGGATTATAGCCGTGACCCACTGCACCTGGCTGATGAGGTTCTCTTTTTACATGTTTTAAACTTTCATTTTCTACTTTTTGTATCACAAATCCTAATCCATGTTAAACACAACTACTTCCAGTATCATTTTTTATTTCTACATAGAAATTACATTAGGTTACTATTGTTGAAAACTAAGGTGACTTTCAGCTTTTTGCTATTCTCAATAGTATCACCAGTGAACATTCTTACAGATAAGTTTTTAAGCATATCCTTAGTTTTTAGGATAAATTACCAGAAATGGAGCTATTGGGTCAAAGAACTGTTTTTTTGTTGTTGTTGTTTTATCTTTTTTTTGTTGTTTTATTTTTCTGATTTTGATAGTCTATTTTTTAAAGGCTTTCTATTTTGTACAGCCCATGTACCCTCCAAAACCATTAAAGTAGAATATTCTGTTTTCTAGTAGCTATTTCTGTGTCCTCACCAACACTGAATGCTTTTTTTTTTTTTTTTGGGATGGGGTTTTGCTCCTGTTACCCAGGCTGGAGTGCAATGGCGCAATCTCTACTCACCGCAACCTCCGCCTCTTGGGTTCAAGCAATTCTTCTGCCTCAGCCTCCCGAGTACCTGGGACTACAGGCATGCGCCACCGTGCTTGGCTAATTTTTTTGTAGGTTTAGTAGAGATGGTGTTTCACCATGTTGACCAAGATGGTCTCTATCTCTTGACCTCGTGATCCACCCGCCTCGGCCTCCCAAAGTGCTGGGATTATAGGCTTGAGCCACTGCGCCGGGCCCACCTTTCAGGTTTAAGCAGTTCTCCTGCCTTAGCTTTCTGAGTAGCTGGGATAACAGGTGTCCACCACCAAGCCTAGCTAATGTTTGTATTTTCGGTAGAGACAGGGTTTCACCATGTTAGCCAGGCTGGTCTGGAACTCCTGACCTCAAGTGATCCACCTGCCTCAGCAGCCCAAAGTGCTGGAATTACAAGTGTGAGCTACTGTACCTGGTTCTCCATTTTTTTTAATGTTTTTTTCCCTGTTGGATTGGAAGAAAAGTAAGCTCACTGAGTCTTTTTTCTGAGACAGAGTCTCGCTCTGTACCCAGGCTGCAGTGGTGTGATCTTGGCTCACCATACTCCAATTGTATATTTCTGAAACCTTGTAAGGGAACTCATATTCTGTATGTAAAGTTGCTGTATTAGTCTATTTTCTCACTGCTATAAAGACATACCCAAAACTGGGTAATTTATAAAGAAACAAGATTTAGTTGACTCACAGTTCCACATGGGTGGGGAGGCCTCTGGAAACTTAAAATCGTGGTAGAAGGCGAAGGGGAAGCAAGGAACATCTTACCATGGTGAAGCATGGTAAGAGTGAGTGCAGGGTAAACTGCAGCTTTTAAACCATCGTATCTCATGAGAACTCCCTCATTTTCACAAGAACAGCATGGGGGAAACTGCTCCATTATCCAGTTACCTCCCACCGGGTTCCTTCCTTGACACATGGGGATTACAATTCGAGATGAGAATTGGGAAGGGACATAGAGCCAAACTGTATCAGCTGCTTTTAATATCCATTTTATGATAATACTCTTTTCAGAGTAGTGGTACAGAATGAGAGAAGAGAAGAATGGACTTCACTTCTTGTGACCATTAAAAAACTCTTCATCCAGTATCCGGTATTGGTGCGACTGGAACAGGCAGGTACTGCATTCATGTAATAGAAGGTGCGGTGGGGAAAGGAAGTGTAGGAGAGGCCTGGGAAACAGAGAAGAGATTTGTGCGGTTTCCCATTGCCGTGTGTAGTTTCTGTTTCTGGTCAGGTTTCTTTTTCCAGTTGGATCCAACTGTACATTTCATATACAGTAAGTTCAACAGTGTCCCTAATACAGGGAGTGGGGCCTTGTGAAGCCAGATGTGTTCCACTTTTTTTTTTAGACAGAGTCTCACTCTGTTACCCAGGCTGGAGTGGAGTGGAACAATCATACTGTAACATTAAACCCCTGGGGCTCAAGCAGTCCTCCTGCCTCAGCCTCCTGAGTAGCTAGGATGACAGCCATGCACTACCATGCCCAGATAATTTTTTCATTTTTTGTAGAGACGGGGTCTCGCTGTGTTGACCATGCTGGTCTCAAACTCTTTGTCTTAAGTGATCCTCCCACCTCTGCCTCCCAAAGTTCTGGGTTTATAGGTGGGAGCCACTATGCTCAGCCACCACTTATTTAAGAGTTCATTTTTTAGCTGAGCATGGTGGCTCTCTCCTGTAATCCCAGCACTTTGGGAGGCTGAGGCAGGTGGATCACGATGCCAAGAGATTAAGATCATCCTGGCCAACATGGTGAAACCCCATCTCTACTAAAAATACAACAAAAAAAAATTAGCTAGGTGTGGCGGCGCATGCCTGTTGTCCTAGCTACTCGGAAGGCTGAGGCAGGAGAATCCCTTGAACCCAGGAGGTGGAGGTTGCAGTGAGCCGAGATCGTGCCACTGCACTCCTGCTTGGCAACAGAGTGAGACTCCGTCTCAAAAAAAAAAAAAAGTTCATCTTTCATGAGATGTTTTTCTTTCTTTTGTATCTTTTGCTTCAGAGGGCTTTCCTCAAGGAGACAATTCTACCTCAGCACAAGGAAACTACCTGGAGGCCATCAATCTGTCATTCAATGGTGAGTAAGGATGCCAACCAGTGAGCTGGCATCTCACCTTCTACATGGCTATGTTACTAGAAAGGTGTTCTGATCCAAACCCGACGAGAAGGTTCTTGGATCTTATAGAAGAATCTGGGGTGAGTCCACAGGTAAAATGAAGGCAAGGTAATTAAGAAAATAAAGGAATAAAAGAATGGCTACTCCATAGACAGAGCAGGGCATTCCCAAAAGCAAGAGGAGGAACGTGTCCACCTTAGGTACAATGGTTGTTTATAACAAAGCAAAATAGTCATGGGGGAGAGGTGCTCTACTGCAAGGGCTCGTGACAAAGGATTATTCATCTTTATGTAACTGCTTTCTCAAGAATCTATATTATTATCTTTAAAGCAAAACTTGTTTTTTTTTTGAAACGGAGTCTTGCTCTGTCACTAGGCTGGAGTGCAGTGATGTGATCTTGGCTCACTGCAACCTCTGACTCCCTGGTTCAAGCGATTCTCTTGCCTCAGCCTCCGGAGTAGTTGGGATTAGAGGCACATGGCACCACACGTAGCTAATTTTTGTATTTTTAGTAGAGATGGGGTCTCACCATGTTGGCCAAGCTGGTCTCAAACTCCTGACCTCATGTGATCTGTCCTCCTCGGCCTCCCAAAGTGCTGGGATTACAGGCGTGAGCCACCGCGCCTGGTTGCAAAATTTATTCTTAAACTAAGAATGTTATTAAGATGTTGGGATATCAGGACATTTCCTGGATCTGAAAAGCTCTGAGTCTTTTGAGTAAACATTATTAACCTGTTCCCTTAACCATAAACATCTTGCGACTAAGAATGCCTAACCTCCTGGGAATGCAGCCTAGCAGGCCTGAGCCTCATTTTACCCAGCCCCTATTCAAGATGGAGTTGTTCTGGTTTGAAGGCCTCTGACAGCTATGCATGTCTCTCTATGATGCCTGCAGACCCAGACCTAGGTGTTGATGCGCCTACCTACTTATCCCCAAAATTAATTCAAAGCAGTAGCTTCTCATTGGTTGGTTGTAATGACCAACATTTAGATCTTGGGTTTTCCGTTGGGCAGTTTAATTTGGTAGTCTCATCTGCTTCTCATGGTCAGGAACTGAAAGGATCCTCCTTAGGCTCTTTGACTTACTTGAACTGTGTTATTATTTTCCACCCCATCTTCAATTGCTTCTTGGTAATATTTTTAAAATCTACTTAAAAGTAAAAATAAAAATTAAAGATTAAAAAAAAATCTATTAAAGAAAATTACAAACGTGGCCTGGTGCAGCACTTTGGGAGCTGGAGGCAGGCCAATCACTTGAGGTCAGGAGTTTGAGACCAGCCTGGGCAACATGGTGGAACCCTGTCTACTGAAAATACAAAAATTAGCCAGCATGGTGGCACACACCTGTAATCTTAGCTACTTGGGAGGATAATTACTTGAACCTGGGAGGTGGAGGTTGTGGTGAGCAGAGATCACACCACTGTACTCCAGTCTGGGCAATAGAGCAAGACACTGTCTCAAAAAATTATTTTTATTTTTATTTTTTATCAGTAAGAAGAACCAAAAAAAAAAAAACCAAAAAAAAAAAAAAAAACACAACTAAGCCTGGCTGGGTTTCAGAATTTCTGTTTTTTTGTTTTGTTTTGTTTTTGAGAGGGAATCTCGCTCCATCACCCAGGCTGGGTGCAGTGGCTCAATCTCAGCTCATTGCAACCTCCACCTCCCAGGTTCGAGCGATTCTCCTGCCTCAGCCTCCCGAGTAGCTGAGACTATGGGCACGCGCCACCACACCCTGCTAATTTTTGTATTTTTAGTAGAGACGGGGTTTCACCGTATTGGCCAGGATGGTCTCAATCTCTTGACCTCATGATCCGCCTGCCTCGGCCTCCCAAAGTGCTGGGATTACAGGTGTGAGCCACCTCACCCAGCCCAATTTTTTTTTTTTTTTTTTTAAGTAAATAGGCTGAGTGTGTGGCTCACACCTGTAATTCCAACATTTTGGGAGGCCTAGGAGGTTGGATCACGAGGTCAAGAGATTGAGACCATCCTGGCCAACATGGTGAAACCCACCTCTACTAAAAATACAAAAATCAGCTGTGCATGGTGGTGCGTGCCTGTAATCCCAGCTACTCAGGAAGCTGAGGCAGGAGAATTGCTTGAACCTGGGAGGTGGAGGTTGGAGTGAGCCGAGATTGCACCATTGCGCTCCAGCCTGGGCAACAAGAGCAAAACTTCGTTTCAAAAATAAATAGATGAATAGGCCAGCTGTGGGAAGAGACATGCAGGGAAATCACTTAAACCTGGGAGGCAGAGGTTGCAGTGAGCTGAGATCGCACCACTACATTCCAGCCTAGGCGATGGGATGAGACTGTTTCAATCAATCAATCAATTTTTTTTTTTTTTTTTTGCTCTTCCTTTTGGGATGGAGTTTCGCTCTTGTTACCCAGGCTGGAGTGCAATGGCGCGATCTCGGCTCACCGCAACCTCCGCCTCCTGGGTTCAGGCAATTCTCCTGCCCCAGCCTCCTGAGTCGCTGGGATTACAGGCACGCGCCACCATGCCTAGCTAATTTTTTGTATTTTTAGTAGAGATGGGGTTTCACTATGTTGACCAGGATGGTCTCGATCTCTTGACCTCGTGATCCACCCACCTCGGCCTCCCAAAGTGCGGGGATTACAGGCTTGAGCCACCGCGCCTGGCCTTAATCAATCAATTTAATTATGTTACTAGAATTCAAATATGGAGAGCTGTATCAAGTAAAAAAGGATATCCTTCTCTTGCCCCCCAGTGTCAGTCCTCTTTTAAGAGGAACCATTGTTAGTAGTATGGTATGATTTCTTCCAAATGTTTATCCTAGCATTTATGTGATAGCTGAAATATATTGTTTACAAATAACAAAAATGTACTGAGTTAAACAAAAAGGGAAATTTACTGTAAGAATACAGAGGCTTAAATGGAGCAGCCAGGAAAGGTTCAAATACTATGTTAAAGAACCTTATTGGCTCTGGGAACCATAGCCGCAGGAATTCTGAGAGCTATATTTAGCTTCCAGCAAACCTGTCTCTGCTCTGTGTTCAGAATTCACATTCATGGTAGAGAGAGGCTGAGCTGCCCAGCTCCAGTGTCCATCTGCCCCTGGCCAGAGGTGGAAGTAATGATGTGCCTTCATGTCACTGTGTAGATCACCTTCCCACATGTCTGTACTGAGGTGCTGGGGAATTCTAGAGCATGATATCTTCTATTAGTAAATCTTCTTGGCTTATTTGAATATCACTGATTTTTCATAGTACAAATCATAGAGGCTAGAAATAAAAAGCGACATGCCAGATTTACAAAGTCATCCCAAGATTTTGGTCTACTCTCTTAAATAGTGTCTTAAATTTATACTGTCTAATATAATCTAATTGTATAATTAATATATAAATATTAAAATAAGGCCGGGCGTGGTGGCTCATGCCTGTAATCCCAGCACTTTGGGAAGCCGAGGCAGGTGGATCATGAGGTCAAGAGATCGAGACCATCCTGGTCAACACGGTGAAACCCCGTCTCTACTAAAACTACAAAAAATTAGCTGGGCATGGTGGCGCGTGCCTGTAGTCCCAGCTACTCAGGAGGCTGAGGCAGGAGAATTGCTTGAACCCAGGAGGCGGAGGTTGCGGTGAGCCAAGATCATGCCATTGCACTCCAGCCTGGGTAACGAGCGAAACTCCATCTCCAAAAAAAAAAAATATATATATATAAAATGAAATGATATATAATATATAAAATAATATAATCAAAGATTTACTATAGACTCATTTATGGATAGTTTAACAGCATGAATTTTTTTTTTTTTTTTTTTTTTTTTTGAGACAAGTTGAGACAAGTCTCTTGTCACCCAAGCTAGAGTACAGTGGCATGATCTCAGCTCACTGCAGCCTCTGCCTTCCAGGTTCAAGTGATTCTCCTGCCTCAGCCTCCCAAGTAGCTGGGATTAGAGGCGCCCACCACTATGTCCAGCTAAGTTTTGTATTTTTAGTAGAGATGGGGTTTTACCATGTTGGCCAGGCTGGTCTTGAACCCCTGACCTTTGGTGAGGAGGTTTAGACTCAGCCTTCCAAAGTGGTGGGATTATAGACATGAGCCACCGAGTCTGGCCTTTTTTGTTTGTTTGTTTTGAGACAGGGTCTTGCTCTGTTGCCCAAGCTGGAGTGCAGTGGCACTATCTCAGCTCACTGCAACCTCTGCCTCCTGGGCTCTAGCAATTTTTCCACCTCAGCCTTCCAAGTAGCTGGGATTGCAGGTACACACCATCATGCCTGGCTAAGTTTTGTATTTTTTGATAGAGATGGGGTTTCACCATGTTAGCCAGGCTGGTCTCAAACTTCTGATTTCAAGTGATCCACCTGCCTCGGCCTCCCAAAGTGCTGGGATTACAGGCCTGAGCCGCCATGCCCAGCCCTAACAGTATGAAATCTGAGCATTTAAGGCTGCACAGGGCAAGTATTAGGCATCAGTGAGGGGTATTAACAAAGATGACAGTGACTTATTCCTGTGGTCAAGTAGCTCTTAATATAGAAGAGGAAAGACAGATGTGTATATATATTTAACTAGAATGTGGCAGTTGCTATGGATAGAAATGCTCTGAGATAATTCAATAAAGATATGTTTTAAAAAAATGCTCTGAGAGTGCAGAGATACTTGCCTATAACGGTTTCTGAAAAACTGTAACATCATTATTGTGGAATTTTTGTTTTATTTCAAGTGTTTGATAAGCACTACATCAACCGAAATTTTGACCGAACGGGGCAGATGTCAGTGGTTATCACGCCTGGGGTGGGTGTCTTTGAAGTGGACCGCCTACTCATGATCTTGACCAAGCAGCGGATGATAGATAATGGTAATGCTCCCTGGTTTGTGCTCTGTCTCCACATGTTCCTAGCCTGATTTAACATTAGAACTCTGAGCTTCACTGGCTTCTTAGAGTGTGAGGAGTTCTAAGTAGTGTTCTGTGTGTCACAACATCTGTGGATGTCAATAGGTGTCAGGTGGTCAAATCAGTTTGAGAAGTGCTGGGTTATGCAAAGATAAGCCGGTTCCATAATTACAGGTCTTCTTCAGTTTTTAATATATTAGTGTAGGTTGTTTTTCTTTAAAGGGTGTATCAGGGTGCTCTGAGCTCTCCAAACATATTTGGCACTAGAGAAGCCTTCCTGGAGGGAATATTTCAAGGGACCCGTATGCTGTCAGCCGATTTTGGGATGCACTATCAGATAATCTAGTCCAGTCCTCTCTCCATGATGTGTCTCATATCCCCAACTCAACCCCATATCCCCCAGTTTGATTTGTTTCATCAACAAGATGGAGTTGGCAAGCTGAGGCAGTAGAATTGCTTGAACCCAGGAGGTGGGGGTTACAGTGAGCTAAGATTGTGTGCCACTGCATGTCAGCCTGGGCAGCAGAGGGAGACTGTCTCAAAAAAAGAAAAAATGGAGTTTAGAAAGTAAATTCTGATGCCACTGAAGAAGCTCTGTTAAGTGATGTGGTTTGTTTTACCTTTTTTTTTTTTTTTTTTTTTTTTTGAGGCAGAGTTTCACTCTTGTTGCCCAGGCTGGAGTGCAGTGGTGTGATCTTGGCTTATCAAAACCTCTGCCTCCCGGGTTCAAGTGATTCTCCTGCCTTAGCCTCCTGAGTAGCTGAGATTATAGGCAGGCACCACCACGCCCAGCTAATTTTCTATTTTTAATAGAGATGGCATTTCTTCATGTTGGTCAGGCTGGTCATGAGTTCCTGACCTCAGATGATCCACCTGCCATGGCCTCCCAAAGTGCTGAGATTACAGGTGTAAGCCACCACACCCGGCCTTTTTTTTGAATTTTTAGTAGAGATGGGGTTTCACCATGTTAGCCAGGCTGGTCTTGAACTCACAACCTCAGGTGATCCACCCACCTCTGCCTCCCAGAGTGCTGGGATTACAGGCATGAGCCACTGTGCCCAGTCTGTTTTACTTTTTACTGAGATATTATAAAAGTTACTATTCCTTTCTGGCCTTAAAATTTTAGAGATGGAAGCTTGGTTGTCTTTTTTTTAAACAAATCATGTCCTTTAGGACAGTCAAAGGCTAATTGTCAAGCACTAAATAGTGCCAGGTTAGGAAGGGACTTGAAAAAGAGGAAACAGACAAAATGCATGTATTTACTTCTTTGCTGCATAGGCAGTACTGTGAGGTTATAAATCATACAATGGTAAGTCAGCTTTGCCTAATGCCCAGTTAAATAACATGATTTATAGATAGGGATGCTTATTTCTGCCATTCTGCCCCTGCAACTCTTTTTGTCCTTTCTTTTTTTTAGGAATTGGCGTCGACTTGGTGTGCATGGGAGAGCAACCATTACATGCTGTCCCATTGTTCAAGGTAACCGGATTTTGGGTTTGCTTGCTAAAGGTCAGTTTGATTATAGTTAGAAAGAGAAAAAATTCAGGGGCTGTGGCTCGTGCTTGTAGTCCCACTTACTCAAGAGGCTGAAGTCGGACGATCCCTTGAGCCCAGGAGTTTGAGTATAGTTTGCTATGACCATGCTTATGAATAACCACTGCACTCCAGCCTGGGCAGCAAAGCAAGACTCCATCTCTAAAAAAGTTTTTTTAAAAACCTGAAAAGTGGCCGGGCACAGTGGCTCACTGCTTGTAATCCCAGCATGTTGGGAGGCTGAGGTGGGTGGATCACCTGAGGTCAGGAGTTCGAGACCAGCCTGGCCAACATGGCAAAACCCCACCTCTACTAAAAATACAAAAATTAGCCTGGCATGGTGGCGCATGCCTGTAATCCCAGCTACTAGTGGGGCTGAGGCAGGCGGATCACTTGAACCTGGGAAGTGGAGGTTGTGGTAAGCTGAAATCATGCCACTGCATTCCAGCCTGGGCAACAGAGCAAGACTCCGTCTCAAAAAACAAAAACAGAGAAGTTAGATCAGTTCCACATCCTACTTGTTTTGTAGCTTATCAGTGCTCTAACTTTTCTCCTTGCAGCTCCATAATCGGAGTGCTCCCCGGGATTCTCGTCTGGGTGATGACTATAATATCCCTCACTGGATAAACCACAGGTGGGTGCGATCTCGATCAATAGTAGGTGATAAGAGTTTTGGACAGCTTCCTTGCCATTTTTCTTTAAATTTAAGTTCTTGTTACAGCACTAAACCTTTTGTCAAGCAAATGTGGAAACGAAGTTCTCGCATTTGCTTAAAGCTCTCTACACATAAAGCAGTAACAATGTCATAGGAACAGTCTATGATCAAAAAGAGTAAAAACAAAATTTGAAGGACTTACTTCCACTGCTGTTCCCAAGTCCTACTATTCCCAACTCTCACAGATTGTAGAAGACCAACATTTGTGCCTGACCTCAATTTTTGTTTTTTTAAGTTATCTCCTACTGAAAGGGAATTTTGTTTTTTTGAGACAAGGTCTTGCTCTGTTTCCCAGTCTGGTCTCAAACACAGCTCACTGAAGCCTTTACCTCCCAGGACAAAGTGATCCTCCCACCTCAGCCTCTCAAGTAGCTGGGTCCGTAGGTGTGCACACCAGGCGTGGCTAATTTAAAAAAAAAAATTGTAGAGATAGGCTCTTGCCATGTTGCCCAGGCTGGTCTCAAACTCCTGGACTCAAGCAATCCTCCCACCTCAGCCTCCCAAAGTGTTGGGATTAGAGACATGAACCATTGTGCTGGGCCTCTGGTGAGGTCATTTTCATTTATTTATTTATTTATTTATTTTTGAGATGAGGTTTCACCATGTTGGCCAGGCAGGTCTCCAACTCCTGACCTCAGGTGATCTGCTTGCCTTGGCCTCCCAGAGTGCTGGGATTACAGGCATGAGCCACCGCACCTGGCTTTCTTTCTCCATTTATTTATTTATTTTTACTTTTTTTGGAAGTCTTTTTTTTTAAAAGTGTCTCCTTTATACTGAGATGCTGTTATAGTCTTTCTCATCTTGTGTTTATGTTACCATTATTTTTAAAACTTGGTTAATGGTTCAAAAATCTTAGGTAAAATGCAAGTATTTTGAGTTTTTTTTTTAAATTTGTTTCAGAGTAAATTCTTTTTTTTTGTCAGCCTCTAGTTTTGTTTCTTTGTTTTAGAGAGAGAGAGAGAGAGAGAGAGGTAGATGGAGGTCTTCCTATGTTGCCCAGGCTGGCCTCAAACTCCTGGCCTAGGCATGAACCACTGTTCCCTGCCTCTAATTATTTTTGATTTTGTAATCTTTTTTTTTTTTTTTTTTTTTTTTTTTT